AGGGAGGCGTGCATGGGAACAGCTTCAGTTCCCTTTAGGTCAGAGCCTCACCACCCGCCCTGGTTCGGCTGGGGGAAGTGCTCCATCTGTCACCGAGAAGGCCCCTGGTTGTCGCCCCCCCCCCCCCCCCCCCCCGCCTCGCCCTCACCCGGCCCGCTCACCTGAGCTCGGAGTCTTCCCAGGAGCATGGAGTGCACGCAGCGAGCTGTCACCAGCTGTCACCCAGCCAGGGCTCTCTGCAAAGAGCAGGGCAGTGGCTCGGGGCTGAGCACCTGCCTCCAGGCCCCGCGTCCCCACCCCCTGCGAGGAGGGGCTGGGAGGAGTCTGCCTGGCGCTGCTGCTGCTGCTGCTGCTGCTGCTGCTCCTCCCCTCGAGGACCCTGTCACTGGCCACAGACGCACCCACCACCCCCAATGTCCTGCTCTGACCCCGCCCAACAGACCTGCATCCATCCCCCCCCCCCCGCCCCCTCGCTGCTTGACTCCTGACCTTTGGAGTCACAAAACGTGCTTAGCTAGGAAGATGGAAGAATCTGGAAAAAGGAATAGGCTGGACTCCATCGTCCACAGGCCACGACTGTTTACTGCCAGCGAGAGGCACAGAACTTCCCCGTGGGTTTGGAGGTTGTGCCAGGGACTGGATTTTGGGGTGGGCTTAATAGGCCTTCACAAGGAAGCAGAAAATTAAAAAGGGGGGGCGGGGAGCTATGGTCTCCTGGGGGCCCAGGGCAGTGTCCCTGCGGACAGGCATATGGTGGATAGACATGTGCTGGGCAGACATGTGGTCAGGCCTGTTCCTGTGATCCTGGTGTCTTGCCTGGCCTAGGGGAGTAAGGCAGGAGTCAATCCCTCCGTGCTCAATTGCTAGGAGCGCAGTTCCAATCTGACAGGGCCTGGCCACCTCTGCATTTTGGTCCATTGTGCATTGACCTTGAACACTGATTCGGAGTTGGAGGATTGCCCACAAGGCAGAAAGGCTCATTTGATATTTGATATCCAAGCTGAGACATGGGGCCTCGACCATGTGGGGGAAGGAGACACAAGAATGGAGGGAGGAAGGGTCATTGTGTCCAATGTACATTGTGTAAAAATCGAGCTACTGAACGTGAGGATAGGAATGGAATGGGGAGAGATGGGGGAGAAAGGCAGGGGCTGATATCATCAAGATTCACTGTGCTCATAACTTGCCTTTGGGAGCTGAAACTCCTTTGTACAGCTAGTTGATAAAAAGTAAATAAACCTATTTGGTATATAATACTAATAACTTTAGAACAATGACTTGTTTCAACCTAGCAATGGACAAAACTTTAAATAAGCCCAGTGCAGTGACTCACACCTGCCATCCTAGCTACTCAGGAGGCTTAAATAAGAGGCTTACAGTCCAGGATAGTCTGGGCAACAATGTGACCTTCTATTAGAAAAAAATATTAAAAGCAAAACTGACTAAGGGCGTGCCTAAAGTGGTAGAATGCCTGCTTGGCAACATAGGACTCTGAGTTTAAAACCCCAGTACCACTAAATGATTTAAAATTCCATCTGCTCAGCCTAATGACATTTTCCTGGATTTCCTGGTGAAAGAAAGTGTCATGAAGTAAGGATGCTGAGTCTAAGTAACTTCTGAACAGCCATCCTGTGCCTCTGGCTGGGTGGAGGGAATTCCTCACTCAGTGCTGGAAAGCCTAGAGGTCAGAGAAGCCGTTGATGAGCTCCCTAAATGGTGTGAATCAGTAGCCTCTGAGTAGCCTCTAAGTATACCCTACGTGGAAGGTTGAGGCCTATCTTCCCTACATGGAAAACGTTCAGCTGGTACCTGATTATGTCCATTTAAGGTCAGGCATCTTGTCTTCATGGTGGAGGAAGGTGAAGACCCCACCTCCCAGGTGATGGATGTGTCCGGATCCCTGGAGCTAGGGACGGGCACTTGGCTGGACCTGTCAGTCCAGTACCTGGGACTGGGGCATCCTGTGATCCTGTCCCCCCTGGGCTGACCCTATTTAGGCATGGAACAACACAGATGCCTGCACGCCATGCCTCATGTCTCTGTGTTCTTGTCCTGTTTCCTGTCTCCTGGCTCTTCTTCTCCAGTCACCTTGGTGTCCTACTTCAGCTCTTCATGGAGCTGAATTGGTTTGGTGGTATTGTTTTTGCTCTTTCTTTCCTCTCTGGCCTGTTTCCTAACAGTGTTAAGTGTGTGTGCGGGCTGCAGGCTTTTGTAACAATTGGCTATCCGCAGACTGGTACGGCTGTAATAAAATAACTCCAAGATTCATCCTCTCACGATGTGGTTTCTGTGAATTGTCACCTTACAACATTTGCGGAATGGCAGCGTTCTAGAGTGCACAGCGGTGTTCTACCAGAGGGATTTCCAAGGCTCTCCTTTGGCCTTGCAGCAAGGTCTTAAAAAGGTGGACTGAGAGAAACCGAAGGTACTTCTTCCTAGTTATTCTTCAGACAGGGTCTCGCATTCATGCAAAGCAGCCTTGACTCACGATCCTCCCATTTCGTTTTCTGAGTAGCTGAGATGACAGATGCACACCACCACACCCAGCTTTTGGTTGAGATTGGGGGTCTCCAAAACTTTTTGCAGGGGGGTTAGCCTCAAACCGTGATCCTGTCCCCTGCAGCTGAGTGACAAGTATGAACCACGGTTGATTTCCACTGCATATGGATATAACTGGTTTACCTGCATGTTCATATGCTATTGTTTCTTTTCATGGGCTAAAAGCAATGGTTTTTTGTCTTCAGGTGTACAAGCAGAAGCAGTGGTTTTGGAGTTAGCTTTATACCCGCTGGGCCTGGCCACCTGGTCAAGCTTCATGCTGGATAGTCACAAAATGCTGCTTTGTTTGCATGCCTTAAACATGTTCATGATGGAGAAAATGGCTGGATTACTAATTCAATGCAGCATCCACATAAATGTATAGGAAGAGATGCACTTCAGGGTTATGTTTTCAGTGTTGAGGTTTGAAGTCAGGGTCTTGTGTTTGCTCAACTTGCTTGCATGACTGGCATCCTATACCACATGAGCACACCCCTATTCCAAATTTTGGCTGTTTATTTTGGAGGCTAGTGGACTTTTCTTCCTGGGATGGATTCAAACACTAATCCTTTGGATCTTCGACTCCTGAGTAGCTAGGATTGTACGTGAGAACCACTAATAAAGTCCTATTAGCATTTAATAGTATTATAATAATCTTGCAAAGCTCATATATCCACATCTATGCTATCTGCTTGTAAAACTATATAATATTTCTCCTTAATGGTGGAAATTTGAGTTGTTTATGATTTTTGAAATGGTACGCCAGTGGTATTCTTAGTTGAATCTTTGCTCATGTTCGTAATGTTTTTCTCTGTTCTAAATACCAAGGAATGGACTTTCTGCGGGACATTAAGTGCAGTTCTTTTTGTTGCTGTTGTTTTTTGTTTTTGTCATTCTTGAGCCTTGAACTCTGGGCCTGGGTGCTGTCTCTGAGCTCTTCAGTTCAATGCAAGAGCACTCTACCACTTGAACCACAGCGCCACTTCTGGTTTTCTGGTGGTTTATTGGAGATGAGTCTCATGGACTTTCCTGCCTGGGCTAGCTTAGAACCATGATCCTCAGATCTCAGCCTCCTAAGTAGCTAGGATGATAGGCATGAGCCACCAGCACCTGGCTTGTCCAGTCTTTTAAGTTACATTCACAAGTGTCCTTTAACCCAGATTATATCTTAAGGTCTGGTGGCAAAAGTACTTCTCCAAAAGTGATGAACTTGCAGTCATATAACTTCTGCTTTTCTAAACTTGTCGGTGTTTTCCATTGTATACTAGGAAGACAAAGTGCAGTCATGCTGATGTGGCACTACGGTCTCCCCGGGACCTGCCCCCAACCACTTTTTCCTGGAGGCATCCCATATTCGACTCGGTTTGTATTCCAACATTCAAGACTTCATGTGCTGGCATCTGTTTCCGCTAGTAAGATTCTTACTTTTTCAGTCCAGGTCCAGTCCAGGAAGCATGGACCATACTTGAACTGGTTTGTCTTGATGACAAGAGATTCTTGCCAGAGGTAGGAACAAACTTCAGGAAATCTAATAGTCCCGGTGCAGTATCTTGAGAGCCTCATCACCCATGGGCTTGAAGGAGAAGGAACAGGACGCAATGGCTGGCTCTTGGCAAGGGTAACAATATGGAAAAGTCCACCTGACAAGAACTATGGCCTCCCCAGCACACAGGGCAGCCGGGTGGGAAGGAAACCAAGGGAACACTCCGATCCCATTCTTTATTGACCCTTCAGCCTCCCGCTGGAAATTATCTAGGCCCGACTAGAAGGCAGAAGCGTTGGAGCTCATGAAGGATATCCGTGCGGTCAGCCTTTGGGTGAAGATAATAGTGAGTGGATTGGATGAGACACACGGAAGCTGTCTGGAACACACACATGTGCTTCCACGTATGTTTCTCTGAGGACGCTTAACGGGATCCTCAGTATACTTAGTTTGTGGCATATCTCACCTCCTCAAACAGATCAATGCCTTTGTAAAGAGAGATACGGTCTTTCTTGTGTGTGGCTTTATTCCTCAAAGAGAATATTCTGTCAGGGAAGTTGATTCAGGGTGTCCGTGGTACACAAGAAAGGCTGGAAATAAAAAAGAGTCTCTGGGCCAAGGTGACTGGGCAGAAGTGGGGTAAGATGACGTCAAGGCAGGAAGATAGAACCTTTCTGTAAAGCCCATCCGAAAGTCAGTATGTAAGAAAGCCACAAGGACCCATCTTCAGGCTGCAGCTCACCCAACAGAGGCGGAAGGAGCCTCCTCGCTAGCTATTTCTCTGCTCCTAGGCTTTGCTAGCAAAACACCACCTTAAAGGAAACGTGGCCTACCTGGAAGTCATTAACTCTGTTCAACAAGACTTCATAAGCCTCCCAGGAGACCACTACATACCTGCAGCAGCCACAATGGAATCTTAGAATCAGCATAGCCCTCTCTCCAGCCCAGTGACAGAGATGGTCCAAGATGTCAATCAACCATGGTCCTCTTCCCTCAGGAGGCAAGCCTTGAAGAGCTTCTGAAAAGTGAGTAGAGACTAAAGGGATCAAATGTTCTGGAAACCTCAGCAGGGACTTGATTCTGGCCTTTCAGGTCCAAAATGCGGGGAACTCTCTAGAGATCAAAGAGCTGAGGTGGATCAGCTCTCTCAAGCATTCAACAAGAAGTAGAGCAAATTGGTGTGACTGTTTAAATTGACTGGGTGTCAGTGTCCATGTCTGCAAACCACTTACATTTCATGGCTGGAGTTGGTGCTGGTGAAATAATAACATGCTGAGAACAATATCGTGTGCATCCCTTCCACACATTCTCCATCCCCTCAACGAGTCTCCATTACCTTCAGCTGCTCGGGCTCTCAGGTACCCATCTGCCCACGTTGCTGTATTTTCTCTTTCATAGACATTGAGGTTAGAAATCCATCATTTCCCAGGCAGGAAGTCTTAGCTTCCATGATGTTTCAAATCCAAGTGACTTGGATTTGAATACAGTGGGGCAGATAAAAACATCCCGATCCACCAGAGGACTTGAATACATCTCCCTCCCTTTTCTTGTGTCTATCGTAGGGATAAGAATGGTACCTGCCCCCACACAATTAAACGTGTCAACCCGTGTGGCTTTATCACCATTATCATCTGTTAAGGGACACCACATTTGGACTAAAGAAGACAGGATTGCTCAAGAGTTTCCCTGTGAGGCAGAGGAACCAGCCCCCCTGCTTCCCCAACACACACCAGCTACAGAGGAAGCTGAAGCTGATTGGTCAGCTTGTGCTGGGGAAGGCGGGGTCAGTTTCCATGGTGAGAGCACAACACCACCCTGGACCTTAAGTCTGGAAGGAGACACAGAGCTCCATGGAAAAACCTAGTAAGTAGTTTCCTATTCCCCCTCTCCTGTTGACTCTAGCAGGTATGGTAATATCTATGAAACATAAGTAGTTCCTATTCCCCCTCTCCTGTTGACTCTAGCAGGTATGGTAATATCTATGAAACATTTAGTATTTGTTTACTGAAGACCTGTATTCCTACTTTTTAAACCAAGATACATTTGCAAAAAAGACAAGAATTCATTCGCACTTACTCAAATGCACAACGCTGCACTCAAGTTCACTAAAGGTAGCAGTCCGTGACACGTGCACTCCAAAGCGAAGGCAGGAAGTTTGCAAGTTCAAAACCAGCTTGGGATATATAATGAAGCCTTGTCTCGAATTAAAAACCTAATCCAACACACCAAAAAAAAATCCTCAAAAAATAAGCTGGTGAGTTATATCCATTTTGTGCAAAAAGAGTTTTCCTTTTTTTTTGGTTCAAAAAACGTCCCACTGAAGTTATTTATTTTAATATGCGTTTCATTGGCTTTAAGTGGTGGCATAAAGGAGCTTCAGTTCCACATGCTGGTTTGTGAGTACAAAGCATCTTGATCGGTGTCACCCCTTCCATCATCCCTCCCCATTTACTGTTTGAAAACAGCTGTATTTAGAGTTAATTCGCTCACTATAAAACTGAATTCGTTTAAAGTGTGTAATTCCATGAGTTTTGGCAGTCTAGGGCTGTGCAAACATTATCTCCTACATTGTAATATTAAGACATTTCATTATCCAAGAAATAAACCCTGTGTTTTCTCAGCAGTCATTCTGAATGTCCACCCTCACCCCAGGCCCAGGCAATGCATAATTCCCCTTTGGCCTCCATGCTTTGCTGCTGTGGGCTTGTTACATGGAGGAAAACAGGATGCTCTGCTCACAGGCCTGCTTTCAGACCCATCCAGGAAGCCTGGGTTGCAATTCACTCCTTGTGATGGCCAGATAACATTCTTGGCCACGGGCAATCTGCATTTTATCTATGACTCTACTGACTGACATTTGAGGTGTTTTCACTTTGTACCTATCATGAGTAATGCATAAGCATTAGTCATATGTGCAATGTTTCATAGGGATAGATATTTTCATTCTTTTGAAAGCACATTCTAATAGAATATCCCCATTTCCCAATGTCAAAACTTACTACAAAGCTACAGGAATAAAGACTGCTGTGGGACTAAGAAGAGAGAGAGAGAGACCCACAGAATAGAATTGAGAACCTAGAAAAACATGCCAAATTGCTTAGACAGATGATAGATAGATGGTAGATGGGCAGATAGATACTATAGACAGAACATAGGTAGAGTGATAGATAAATAGGTAGAGAAAGGAATAAAAGAAAAATATAGATGATGATAGATTCAAAATCATAACACAGTGGAAAACACAGGACTATCTCTTTGTGAGGTAGAGGTCCAGTTTCATTCTTTTGCATGTGAACATCTATCTGCTGGGCTCCATTTGCTTACAGCCACTCACCATTCCTTTCCTGCTGAATTGCTTACTGAAAACAGCAAGTGTAAGTCCTCCAACTTTTGCTGTTTATTGTTTTTTAAATTTAGGGTCAGTGTTTCAATTTCTCTGGAAATAATTTTACTGCCCAAGGACAGCTTCTACTTGAATGATGACTCATGCACAGGAAGTCGCGCCAGATCACTGGCGTGGACTCACATGTGGAACAAATTGGGCTGGTTTAAGGGTAAACATGTTTAGAGACTTACATAGAAGACAAGCAGAATGCCTGCCAGACGTGATTGCACACATGGCTGTGCATTTGTGCAGGGTTAGTGGCACCTGTGGATTAGACACACTAGTATTTTTGTTCCCCATTTTCTAATCCACCAAGTACTCCAGCATAAGGGCTTTGTATCAAAGCAATGTTTTTTGTCAGTCATGGGGCTTGAACTCTGGGCCTGGGCGCTGTCCCTCAGCTCTTCAGCTCAAGGCTAGTGCTCTACCACTTGAGCCACAGCACCACTTTCGGTTTTGTGTTGGTTTATTGGAGATAAGAGTCCCATGGACTTTCCCGCTCAGGCTGGCTTTGAACTGCAATCCTCAGATCTCGGTCTCCTGCGTAGCTAGGATTACAGGCGTGAGCCACCAGCACGTGGCTTGAAGCAGATTTTGAAAGCACAGTGCAGTCTGTGCTATCTTCTCTGTAACCCAACTTAGTACCTGCAGAACATGTAACCATGAGCCATGACTAACCGGTGTCCTGCACACACAGAGATTCTGACCCACCTAGAATTCAGGTCTAGGCTACTTCATTAAAAAAAACCCATCAATGAATTTTCATGAGAACAACTGCTGTCTCGTGCAAGGTTCCACTCCTCCTCTCTGCCCTCGAACCCCTGCTTTCTGTCCAGAAAGATCCCGCATCTTGCAGTCTGGTGAATGAACTAGTTGCGATCACTAAGGAAGGTTCCCAGGTCTCACCAAATCAGAATCGGCCATTAAGCAAGAGCACAAAGTGGTTGGTTTGCATGCAGACCATGGTGTACAAGCCAATCGGCTCCCACCTTTGCAACCTTAGATCACCATCTAAGGGTCTGGGGCCTCCATAGGTTGGTACTGTGAGGCGTGTGAATTTCCCTCTTCACCCCTGCATTTGTCACCCCCGGGTCACTGCTTAGAGTGTTGATGGTAACGGCAGTTAAGGATCTCAAACTCAGGAAGAGTGCATCACTGGTCAGAGGGACACTGTGTGGAGTTCACATAGTTCCAGCCACAGGGTTCTCTGTTCTTAGCCGCTCTGGGGCTTGACGAGCTTCCTGGCCCCAGACAACCTCTCCAGGAGGGGAGAGGACTCACGGAGGCCCGGGCAGTGCGAGAACACAGAATGAACTTGACCACCTCCCTGACCAGGCCCTTCCCCCCGCCTCCACCTGCCCCAGGTCTGTCTTCTTCGCCTTGAGGAAGCCATGGGCTGGGGGAGGAAGGTGGAGACAAGGCCGGCAGGGAGGGGTGGAACAGGAAGCGTCCCTCTTGTGATTGATAAGTTGTTTGGAAGTTCCCAGGTAATAGCCTCAGCCTAAAAAATACCTGCTGTCTGTCCCAGTGGAGACAAAGGCCATTCACCTTTAGTCTAGACACTGGACATCGTGTGGCTCCTGCCACAGATATGGTGCGGCCTGTGTTGGGATCTTCAATGGTCAGTCATCAAGACTGCGCCTTAGTTACCCTTTGGGATCCAGCCTGCGACTCTTAGAGAGAAAAGATCCTCTCATGTCCCAGTCTTACTGGATGACTTCCTGCCTGCCTGCCTGCCTGCCTGCCTGCCTGCCTTCCTTCCTTCCTTCCTTCCTTCCTTCCTTCCTTCCTTCCTTCCTTCCTTCCTTCCTTCCTTCCTTCCTTCTCTGGCTGTCTGGCTCTAGGGATGTTCTCACAGCATCGAATCCACCTGGAGGGCTGAGGCTATAATCAAGTCATTGTACAGATGAGAAAGACAGAATTCTGAACTTCAGGAAATGCGATGAGAACGTCCAAGTTGGAGTGGGGCTGGTGCAGGAGTGTGGTTTGAGCTGCACGCAGAGTGCTGGTCTGGGGTTTAGATACAATTCCGTGCGGAGGGGTGCGTGCGTGGGCAGTTTGGGGTAGAGGACTGACATTTGGTCTACAGAGGAGCGAGGTTCCGAGCACCCGCTTAGCAGAGCACGCGCGCGGGCACCTTCTGTGTGAATTCACCAGGCAGGAAAGAACAGCACAGACACAGAAACCCAGGAAGCTCTCACTAGGAAGAGGGCGTGTATGGAGTTTCCTAAGTGGCCGGCTTCTTGCACAGATTCGGTCACAGAACTGACCAAGCTGTCAGACATGACAAAGCTCCACCAAGCGGTGGCCGCCGGGGACTGCAGCTCAGTGCGAAAGATCTTGAAGAAAGGCCTCTGTGACCCAAACTACAAGGACACGGACTGGAACGACCGGACCCCACTTCACTGGGCTGCAATCAAAGGTGGGTGGGGCATGCTGGGGGAGGGGGCTCAGCCCTTCGAGTTCACCGCTCACGAGTCCGTCAGTCTGCAGGCTGTGTGGGGCGGGCGTAAGGAACGTGGGTGGACCCTGTCCCTCCTCACCCACCCTTGCAGCTTCAGCACTGCAGATGAGCCCTTGGGAGCCTCCAGGCCTCAGTTTGTCCCTGGAACCTGAGAGGGGATGCAGTAAGATAAGGCGTGTACAAGGCCCTGCATATAGATCGGCTCTTCATTCCTAATCATCATCGACCCTCATCTGCCCTCATCTGGACCAAGAGAGGAACTTCATCTCTCTGAATCCCCCAGGCCTGACCAAGGCCCGGCTGTGCATGGGTGTCAGGGGTACCCGCAGCTGATTGGCTGGTCAGGGGTTTTGGCAATTCAGTGCCATCAAAGAATATTAAGGAAGAAAGGCTGACAGTCAATGCTGCTTTGTAACTGTGTTCTGTCCTGGGGAGAGAATGGATCGGCCGCAAGCCAGATCGGCCGTGGGAAACTTAGTTGGGACATTTCGTTTTCCTTCAGAAATCTTAGCACAAAGCAATTGGTAGCGCGCTCAAATGACCCTTGCTGAACTGCTTTGCTCTGCACTGCCTGTGTCGCGGTGCAGGGTTTCTCTGTGATGTCACATGCCCTCCTTTAGGACGTGATGGGTCCGTGGTCATGTCCTTTATTTTCCAAGAAACAAGCACTTGTTAGTACGTGGTGCTGTCAGGAGATGAAACTCGGTCTACCTGGCTGGAAACCTCGTGGGCTTATACTGTAGGCTGCATTCCCAGTGGCTATGAAGACACGTGCTCTTGACATCCACATTGGGGCCGCAGAATCAAGAACGAGCTTACTGGTGTTTCTATGGGCCACGATTGGAGCAGATGTCCAGGCTGACTTTGGGACACAGGACAGCAATGTCCTGGAACGGATTACAACAAGCTCGTGGAGAGCTCAGATCTCAGGTGGGGATGGGGTTCTTAGAGTGAAGGTAGGGCATTGACTCTCCCAATAAAAAGACCGAGGGGCAATGATAGCAAGCTGGAAGGACACTGAAAGCCGATTTCCTTCCTTCTTCATGTGGACGAGGCTAAGCCCGCATGGACATTCTTCTCTTGACCTCATTCTGTGTCTGCTTTGTATACTGAAGGACAAATGGAGGCGATGCATCTCCTGCTGGAGCACGGAGCCAGACCCTGCCTGGTGACGGATGTGGGCTGGACTCCGGCTCACTTCGCAGCAGAGGCAGGGCACCTGAGCGTGCTCAAAGCCCTGCACGCATGGCACGCTGCCATCGATGCCCCAGACTTCTTTGGAGACACGCCCAAGAGGATTGCACAGATCTACGGGCAGACAGCCTGTGTGGCCTTCCTGGAGAGGTAAGTTCCACTGCATAAAAAAATAAAAAGGGGCGGGAGGGGTGAGCTGGGAAGGTGGCTCAGTGGTAGAGTGCTTGCCTAGCATGCATGAAGCCCTGGGTTCGATTCCTCCATACCACATAAGCAGAAAAGCTGGGAGGGGTGCTGTAGCTCATGTGGTAGAGCACCAGCCTTGAGCAAAAGATGCTCAGGGACGTGCCCAGGCCCCAAGTTCAAGTCCCAGAACTAGCAAAAAATTTAAAAAAGGAAAAATTACAATTAAAAGGAAACAAAGCAAAACAGCCTCCCAATAATATATAGGCTACTTTGCACTTGAGGAACATGAGCACTTTAAGAAGGAGCTGTTCTTGTCAGGAGCTGGTGGCAGACACTTGTCATCCTAGCTACTCAGGAGGCTGAGAAGCGAGGATTACAGTTTGAAACCAGCCCTGGCAGGAACACCTGTGAGATTCTTTTCTCTATTGAACCACCAAAAAGCCAGAAGTAGAGCTGTGGCTCAGATGATTGAGCAACAGCCTTGAGCACAAAAGCTCAAGAACAGTACCCAGGCCCTGGGTTCAAGACCTAGTACCAACACAAATAATAATAAAACATTTTTTTTAATGAGTTGCTCCTTCTTCAAACCCTCTGCATCCACGTGTTCATTCACCCCCGGTCCGTGGCTTTTCTCCACTTCCAAGCAGTTTGTGCGATGTGGGCACACTTGACCACCTTCCTTCTCCAGTGCACAAGTGTGCGTGTGCACGCAGAGCACAGACGGGTGCTAGTCCTCACGCCAGGACAGGCTGGCTGGCACCGTGCTGAGAAGCCCCGATCCTCCCTTCCCAGGGCGGAGCGGGAGTGCCAGGCCCACCGTAGCCAGGCCCAGCACGCAGGGCTGCGTCTGGATGAGCAGGACGCAGACTGGCACACCAAGAAGCGAGAGCTGGAGCTGTCTCTTCCTTCCCCGTGCCGCCGCCGCCGCCGCACGAAGAAGAAGAGCGAGAGAAGCCCAGGCCCCGCCAGGCCCGGCCACGCCAGGGCGTGGAGACGCGCGTGAGAAGAGGGAGTCCCAGGACTTGAACCCGTGTTTTCTGGCTGAGGACCTTGCCTGGCATCTGTCCGGCAAAGCTGGTTAGGTCTTCCCATAATTTATCTCGAGGCTCTTTAGAGGCCTCTGACCCATCCCAGGACCGGAAGTTCAGTTTGAGCATCTTCCCTGGGTGTTCCTAGACACACGCAGGTGCTTCGTTGCTCAAACCTGCAGTATGCAGAACAGCCAGGAGGGGACAAAGCCAGCGGGTCAGCTGCTTGTGCCTGGTCTCTGGGGATTTGCCCCATCCGCACACCCCTCCCCCCCTCCCCCCCTCTCCCCTCAGCGTGCACACAATTGCAGAATGTCAGCAATCCAAGAGAAGATGCTAAGGAAACTTGGGTATGGGCTGGGGAGAAAATAGTAAGTAACAACAGAAATCCGAAGTGGTATGAAACCAAGCATCATCAGTTTAATCCATAAAAAAACAAAAGCACAGTTTCAAAGTATTTTTCCCCCCTTTGGGCTTAGGAACACAGGCTTGTCAGTGGCATTTTGACCCACGTTCTTGTCTACACAGGAGCAAAAGCTAGTCAACACATCAGCTCAGAGAGAAACCACCAGAAATCCTGAGGTGACTTAATTACCTCCCAGATGACTAATTAAAGATCATGTAAAAATCGTAGAACTTGTGCTTAGAGTTCCACTTTTTCTTCTGATATCATATGAGGGTTCTATTGCTATTTTGTCATATTGGTGTCTTACCTAATCATCGGACTGATTTGTCTGCAGTGCCTCTCTTCTGTTACCAATGGTTATTGGAATAGTGCATTGGTCCATATTGTATATGTTAGTGACACTGTAGATTAAACTTACATAAATTACCTTATGCTATGTATTTTTTATTACTGTGTTAATTTTGCAAAGTGGGAGGTATTTAATGTGACAAAACATAGTACTCAGATTGAGATTTATAACACACAATGGGAATGGAAGACTTAGCACAGAAGGGTAAAAGGGTCCATTAATAATACTGAATATTGACTGGTTAAAATGCTAATACCGTAGATGTTTTAAAGCTAAATACAATTTGTGATTGTCGATTCACTTCTTGTCCCTTTGTAAATCATGTGACTAGTTGCAGGTTTGGGGTTCACCTGTGTGGTTTATGCTCTCCCTGTATGAGCCCTGCTCTGGAATCCAGAGCCTTAGAGCCTCCAGTCAAAGACTAATCAGGTGTCTTGGCATCTATACATTCTTGATTTATGTATTTCCCTGCTTAATGAATGTCTTCAGCTGCTGGATATCTTTATTATGCATAATAAAGGCCATATTTGGTTTAAAATTCCTAAAATTTAAAAAGCATCAATATTTTGCCAGTCACCGGTGGCTCACACCTGTCATCTTAGCGACTTGGGAGGCTGAGATCTGAGGACCGTGGTTCAATGCCAGCCTGCGGCAGGAGAAGTCCATGCATGCACATGCTTGCACACACAAACAAGGAATAGAACTGTGGCTCAAGCCTTGAGCACAAAAACTCAGGGACGGTGCCCAGGCCCTGCTACCCACTAGCAACCAAGGAACTTGTTAGCAATTTTTGTACCTCAAGTTCATAATTAGAGAAGGCAGCGTCTGCTTTGACATCTGTTCTTCCTCTCTGTCCTCCAGCCATTATCCAATTGTGTTAGCTTCTACGTGAATGGAGCCCCAAGGATTTTCTTTCTTTAAGTGTTTGCCACGTGTCTCTGGGGCTGCTTCTCAGTGATGGATGGCAAATTCTAAACACCTGCCATCTGCATGTGACCACGTGAAGTTTGAGGTTTGAGTAGCATCACTGCTATGAATATGTTCCTCTGCGTAAGACTTGGTGGCCATCAGAGAAATTTCTAGAACTGGTGGTCAAGCAAAGACTTGGCACAAAAGAAAAGAGGCTCTTTTTCTAAAAATGGGTAAAGTATTTTTTACATGTCACAAAGCACTTTAAAGGGCACGATTTAGTGGTAATTTTTTTTTTTTTTTTGTCAGTTGTGGGGCCTGAACTCTGGGCCTGGGCGCTGTCCCTCAGCTCTTCAGCTTACGGCTAGCGCTCTACCACTTTAGCCACTTTCAATTTTCTGGTGGTTGATTGGAGATAAGAGTCTCATTGACTTTCCTGCCTGGGTTGGCTTTGAACTGCAATCTTCAGATCTCAGCTCCTGAGTAGCTAGGATGACAGACATGAGCCACCAGAGCCTGGCTAGTGGTTGTTTTTAAGTCAACACATAGAGTTGTGCAACCATCACTGCAGTGCAATTGTAAAGCATTTTCCATCAGCCCCAAGAGATCTCTCCACACCGTTAGCAATCATCTCTTTACCACCCCAGCCCCTGCTGGCACTGACCATTTCCTCGACTTTATAGATCCCCCTTTTTTGGACATTTCATGCACAAGGCTAGATGAGCACTCAGAGCCACCATTTCCATTGCTCATTTGTGGGACAGATCCATCCACCAATATGTATTTGGTAGGGAATGTGTGCTGGGTGCTATGCTAGGTACCTGCCTTAACACAGGCCAGGTCCCTTCCAGCTGAGAAGGCAAGAAATGACACAGAGACAGTGGAGGCCCGGTGGGAAGTGCACGCGGAGGTTCTAGAATGTCCGGAAGCCTTCACCCGACACCCAGATGGGGTCTGGAGTGGTCAGAGGATGGGGCAGACGAATGGACAACTGCAGGGCCAGCTGGGGCTCGTCAGGGGGAGGGGCAGGGGAGCAGAGCATGGCCGGGCCAGGCAGCTGCTGTGTGGAGGCTCAGACCCGGGAATGCGATTCTCTGAGAGCGCACAGCCAGTTTGCTAAGAGTGAGCAGCCTGTGTGGGAGTCAGGGGGCCTGGGAAAGCCAGGGGAGGGGGTGGCCCTGGGGAGAAAAGGAAGGCAGGACGCACCTGCCAGTGGTGTGGTAGGAGGTCTGTGAAGGAAGGACTACGGACAGACGGACAGGGCTGGTTGTGACAGAGCAGTGACATTGCAAACATCCTGGAACAGGCCCTGCTTGCAAACAGGAGACCCCCTGGAGGAACTGCAGGGACAACTGGGGCCACTAGGTGGCGCCTCAGCCCATTCGTTCACAGCCTGGATTCCCCCCAAGTCAAATTGTCTGATCCCAGAGACGTCTAACCCTGGGGAAATTCTCCTAAGTTGTGCACCAGTGAATCCTCTCATCCATGAACTCGGAGAGCAATGGGGCCCTTCTAGGGCCTGTGACATTAAGTGACCAACGATTTGGTGGCACTTCACATTTTTCTCCACAGCCATGGATGTCCCCATTCTTCTGGAATGTTCTCTCATTTTATTCACCACTATATGCTTCTATTTGTCCTCCTGGCAAATGGAAGTACCTACGATCACCTGTAAGTGCAGCTGTTGACGTTATCTTGGAAGCTGTGCTTCGCCTCGTGAGCTCTGGTTGGCTACTACATGCCCTTGTCTGTTTCATGTTTCCAGAGAACAAACTTCTCTTCCAGAGTTTCATGGACTTTCCTGCCCAGGCTGGCTTTGAACTACCGGCTCCAGATGGTAGCCTCCTGCATAGTCATGAACCACCAGTGCCTACATGTTTTGATGCTTTTGTGAAGATATATACCAAAAAAGAATCTTAAACTGAGAATATTTGATGCAATGTTCTTATTTTCCTGAAGCCACCGTGTAGCATAGCAAAAAGCATGGCGCCTTTGAACGTGGTACACGCTCTGTGCCTCCTCCTCTTTTTGAAACAAGGTCTCAACTCTGTAGCCGGAAGCCAGCCTCAAACTCAAGGTTCTACTGTCTCAGCCTCTCACATTCTGTGATTACAGTTGGGAGCCTCACACCGGGCTCCAGATAAGAGGTTTTATGTGGCTACTTTCTCAAAGTCACTCAAAACCATGGTAAAACATCGACTTTCATTTTTATTAGCTGTATGACCTAGGAGTTGCAAATAAAAGTAAAACAAACAAACAAGCAAACAACCCAAACCATGAATTGTCTATGATTTTAGTTTTCCCCTTCCCTCCTAAGCACCTGCTGCTAATGAGCCCAACTAGTCAGCAATAAATTCCTGCCCCACAGCCACAGTCCACACTTAGTGCTTTGAACTGTTTCTCTACCCCACACAGGTGTAATCAGCAAATTTACCTACTAAGCAGGACACTGGCGACTTACAGAATGAACAATTCTCTGGGATGCCAAACAGAATTCCACCTCTAGTGCCACACAAATCCCACATACTCCAATGATGAGCGAAACTGCACACTCACCTTATTTCTACAGATACTCTTTAAAGAAAAAAAAAGCTGAAATCAATTTGCAGTATCCACGATCACTGAAAACATCTAAACAAGTTACAAGTGCCGCTTCAATTGCTTGTCTCACACAGATTTTCCTGGTGTAAGAGTTTCTGTGACCACCCCCCCCTGCATTATTTGTGACAGCGTGGTGCCCTCTTGTGGCACAGACAAAAACCAGAGAAAGACAAAAACCAGAGAGAGGCAAATTAGGAAGCATGGAACCAGTCAAGGCCTGGGCCTAATGTACTGAACCCCCAGAACTGAGTTTTAAAAGCAAATACATCTCAGTAAGTGCGTCTGCCTACTCAATATAACATAAAGCAACGTGCTAGCTGGCAAATGACATCACCAAGGTGTGACGTCCCTTAACAGACCAAGAAAGCAATGTTCAAAGACGCCAACCGCTCTCAAATCACAACATAAAAAAGCATGGGGTATCGTGCTCAGTACCCAAGACCTTCCGTGAACTCAGCACCAGTGTGCCGAGAGTCTACTGCAGACTACAGAGGAAACACAGACAAATACAGGCGAATGCACAGCAACTGGAAAAACACCTACCTGTGGAGCCTTCCTCCACGTTCTTGATGTTTCTCAGGCTCCGTGAGTGAACAGGCAGGGGCTGGGGGGGCCTTTGGGGGGCCGAGGCAGCCGTGGAAGGGCATGGTGCTGCCCAGGGGAAGGAGGAAGGGGCAGGGGAAAGGTGTGAGGCACGGGCCTAGAGTGTGAGCTATGAAGCCCCAGGACTTCGTGACTTGGTTGCTGAGGAAGACCTAGGTAGAGGATGCTGGTCAGACAGGTGTGAGCACCGGCAGGAGGCTGAAGGGGCAGAGGGAGAGGACTCAAGTATTTAAGAACAGAAGGGCTGGGGGTGGGGTGTGGCTCAGGTGGGAGAGGCCTGTTGAGTCAGGCCCAGCTTCTGAGTTCACACCTTATTATCATCACCCCTCATCTTAAATGAATAGACCTAGAGAACAGGGTTGGGAGTTACTCTTAGTCTATCTCGGGCTGGGTGGTGGATGGACCCAGATGAATGATCCATCCAGCTCCTCTTCTTGCTTAGTGTGGCTGGCTTGGGAGCTGAAATTTGGAGCTGGCGAAGCCCTGAGCTCCGAGCTGAGGAGTCAGAGGCTTGGGTGTTGGCGGGAGACTGGGTGCGTGGTGGAGCTGAAGCAGGGGGTGGGAACTGAGGCACTTTCCTGCCCTCAGGGCCTCAGCCCTTGCTCTGCTGAGGACCCCTGGGATCACTGGGAGCCTGGGCTTAGTGCTTCCCGGTGTGTGTGTGATCGTTGGCAGGCATCTTCAGATGTGATATCCGTGCGCTCAGCCTCTTGATGGTCCGAATCCGGGATAGATGGGTGGATCTTTCCTGAAACGCATCTTCTCCAGCCTCTGAAGTCCTGCCTCCGTTCCTGGGGCAACGCTGTTTTGACCAGGAGATCAAGAGCCAAATGTTACCACACCCACCACATTAAATCTACTCTGGAGGGGAGCGGTGACGGTCAGATTACCCGTTTACCGTCCAGCACCTCACAAAGCTTTCCGGGGATTCTTGGACACTGGAATATTTTAGGGAGGGAGACAGGTGTCCACGGAGCCTCCCATTGCCTCCCCTGACTTTTCCCATTCTGAGGCCTGTTAACTTCGTAGCCAATCCAGCTGGCCCTGATGGCGCCCTCTCCTGGTGGCTTTGATCATGACACCACGTCTCTCTGCCCTCAGTCTCCCTCCTTAAAACATTCCAGGGTCCCAGAATCCCCAGATAACCAGGCAGCTCTGTACATGAAACAATCATGTGTCTTTTTAAGATATTTGTAATCTTAGCCTGTATCTTGTACCCTCACTCCCCAGGCTGTGGAAAGCAGATCTCTTCCCTAGCATTGCCTTTCTGAGGACAGCCAGGCCCAAGCCTGGCATCCGCCTGGCTTCTGTCTTTGCTTTAGAATTTAGACGGTCCTGCCCAGGGACCGTCTCTGCCATTAACAGATGCTACTGATCCTTTCTGAAATCAGGGGGCGGGCTCATAGCTCACCGCGGAGGGGCTCCACTGCAAATCCTTTGCCAGGTTTGAACAGTAGGGAGATAAATGGGGGTGGGGGGGAAGGAATGAAGAAGGCTGTCTATCAGATTCTGAGGCAGGGTTAGCTCCAGGCAGAAAGAACGCTGTCATCATGAGGTAGGAGACCGCTCTATCTCCTCCACATCACTTCCCATGGCTCCTTCTTGCCCCTGGAAATGCCTGCATTGCAGCCTGACTATCTACAACTAGCTCTGCAGAGAGCTGAGAGATTCCTTAACCACACGTTTGTTCTTTGAGCCGTCTAGCTCAAGCCCACTGGTTCCCCAAACAGGGAAGAGCACTTTCTATTAAATCCCTGGCCCTGCCGCATTTCTTTGTGTGGGTCTGCATTCATTTATGTGTTGGTAACACCAAGCATCTGAGATCGTCCCTTCTGGGGCCCCCCACTGGTAAGGAGGTCTACCCCCCATCACAAGAGAAGGGTGATCTTTGGGTCCTGGAAAGGAGCCCATGGAAGGTGCACGCAGAGCTGCTGAGCAGCTCATCAAGGCCCTCACCTGGCTTCCTGGTGACTGGGACGTCTTCCCTAGCTCTCCAACCTCTCCATTCTCCAAGCGGCGGCACCTGAGCAGGAATCTCCAAGGTTCTTCTCAAGCCACACCCCAGGAAAGCTGTTCTTGCTGCATTGATCTCTCTGCTTCTGTACATCCGGGTGTGCTCCGACCAGGAAACTGGAGGCTGGTGGGATCATTGACCTTTCTCATAGAAAGGAACCATCATGACACGGAGAGTGGAAACATCTGTTTCATGCAAACCCCACAGAGCCTGCTCATGGCCGTCTGCTGCGCCGTCTCCCTGTGTCAGAATCGTGAGGCTCCTTCTCTGACGTGAAACAGAAGTCCCAAATTCTGGGCTCTGGGACCTGTGTTTTCTATTTATTTTTAACACCTGTCTTGGGGTTTGAACTCAGGGCCTAGATACTGTCCTTGAGTTTCTCTGCATCCTTAGAGGCCCACTTTTCTGAACAAATGTCTGGGGCTGGGACGGCTGGGACCTCCGGCACCAGAGGCCTCGCACGTGGTAGAACGGGAGCAGATACTTCATCCCTGGGTTGCCACGGTCCTAGGTATAAACAGCTGCCACTTAAATGCCACTGCAATAGTGTTAGTCAGGATCTATGTGACCTTGAGTAAGGACTGTCACCTTGCTCTAGCTGCATTTGGAGAGCAAATTGGAGTTACTAGTTGGGTCTCATTCATAGATTTATTGCAAAGATCAAATAATAACGACATCTCAGGTCCTTAAAGAGTTCCTTGTCCAAACATTAGGAATGTGTTACTCGCTGTGGCATGGCAATAGTACTACTTCTGTTAAAACCATCCCTATCATTATTTCTGAGTTTTGAAACCTAAAAGAACGGAAAGAATATTTACAATAAGCCCCGGTATAGCTGCCATCACCTAGATTCTACCATGAGTATCTGCTCCGTTACTTATCTATACATACCCCTCGCCCCTGGGCTCACCTTCTTTTTTTTTTCTTTTTCTAAGCTGCATTTTAGTGAAAACTGCACACAAGCACGTGCCCATGTTTCTCACTGTCTAAAACTCAGCTGTCAGCAGACCTCAACCTTGGGCCTGACGGTGTAAATAAAGTTTTATCAGAACCCTGCCATGTTCATCTCTTCACCTGTCCTCAACGGCGGCTTTCTGGAGACAGCAGGAGTGTGTGTTAGTTTCCAGAGGGATCCCGAGGCCTCTGCAGTGTGTGATCTTTTCTCTGTGACTCTTAACAGGAAACGTGGTCTCTGGGCCCACTCACCTCTGAGTTCTCGTTACTATGAAGCTCACAAGGCCTGTGGTTGCGAGAAGCTCACCGGCCATGGTTACGGGCAGCGAGAGGCTCACCGGCCATGGTTACGGGCAGCGAGAGGCTCACCGGCCATGGTTACGGGCAGCGAGAGGCTCACCGGCCATGGTTACGGGCAGCGAGAGGCTCACCCGCCACAGAGGAGGCAGCCGCTGGAAGATCACATGTTCCAGAAGTAGGTGAAGGGAGAGAACATGTAACCTTCCCAGCTCAGCCCCAGCGGGACCCCGCCCCGGAGTTTATGAGTCTCCTGTGTGTCTGACAACAGATCATTTGCTGACTTTCACCAACCTTATACTTAGCTTTCTTCTTTTGTGATTTCACTCCACTTTCTTAGCTGGTCATTTTGTCAAATGTCTTCACCGAGATCAAAAGCAAAGCTTTCCCTCCAACACTTTATGAGAAAAACGACACTTTACTGGGCTTCGTCTGATGGTGGTGGAACAGGTCTTGGACATTGCCCTCGGAGGACATAATTTACTTTTTAACTGAAAAATCATAAACCCTTTAAATCAAGGCCTTTGGAGTCTGGTCTCCGGTTGACGAAGAAGGACCTGAGATTGCAAACTGGTAACTGATTAACAGGTGCAATCAGGATCATAAGAAGCTCATCCCTCGGACCAGCTTTGTCATCTTGAGCCAGTGATTGCTGTGTGAGCAAGAACAGCTCCTGGGCTCTTCTCTTCTACCAGGAAACTGCGTGGCAAGAGCTAGCTTGAACTCAGGGCCTGGGTGCTGTCTCTGAGCTCTTTTGCTCAAGGCTAGCTTTCTACCATTTGAGCTACAGCTCCATTTCCAGCTTTTTCGATAGTTAATTGGAGAGAAGAGTCTCACAGACCTTCCTGCTCAGGCTGGCTTTGAACCACGATCCTCAGATCTCAGCCTCCTGAGTAGCAATGACAGGCGTGAGCCTCCCGCGCCTGGCTAGACAGTACCCAGCTTTCTTCTTTTGAAAAATACAAATAACAAACCTCTACTACCTGGTCTCCAAACTTAGCAAGTATTCACTTTTACTATAATTACATCAGAGTTGGGGAAATTATTAATCTGACAGTATTGGAGGCGGAACTCAGGGAATTTGCTAGGGAAGTGGTTCTACCACTGGAGCCATGTCCCAGACCTTTTCCACTTTTAGTTTAGTTTTAGATAGGGTCTCATGCTTTTCTCCCATTCTGGGCGTCCCCTACCTCAGGCTCTGAGTACCTTGGATTTACAAGTGTGTGCCACCATACACAGCTGGTACAACAATTACATTTAAGAAATAAAGTCCCCTGCACTTTCCTCTTTGAGGCTTAGGGCCAAACACCCTCATCTAGTTGACATTTATCAGGACCCTCCCTCCATCTTGCTATTTTTTAGATCATGTAGATTGCCTTTGCTGATAAGATTGGGGTGGGGGTGAGGCTCTTACAGAAAATAAGAGCAGAGTCCAACAGTTGGAGACGGTTGGTGGTGGCTCTCATTTCCTGTACCATCTTGTGCCATTGGCTTTGGGAACGCGGAAGTTGACTGCTGGCTCCTTCCGCCTGTGGGCAGTTGACAGGCTCTTCTTTCATAGTGAGGAAGGTCTACTCCGGTCTCTTGGAGTCCCCTTGTGGCAGGAGATGCTCTTCCCCACCACTGTCCCCAACCCTGCTCAGCAGCAGGTCTATAGACGCTAGACTTTGAGGATTGTTCTGACAGCAGAGATTCTTCACCTCATGCATACCAGAAAGGAAGCACGGGCATCCACGCACAACTGTGGAGCTCACCTGGCTTCTCTCTTCCCAACGCTGTACTCAGAGAGAGAAACATATGAAGAAGAAATATGGACAGATGAAAGATGGACAGAGAGAGAAAGGGAAGTGAGTCATGGCTTTTAAAAAAGTATCCTGCAATAATTGCTTTATACCGTATCCCTACATCTTGAAGTCATCTTGGGTTAGCTTGGAATGCACTATAATTCTCATAATAGATAATATGAGATAGTACATATTTTAATTTTTGAGACTTTTTTTGTGCTGTGGCAGCTTTTAAGGTAGGCCTGTTCCTCCTCTTGAAAAGGCCGATGGTATTACCTTTGACTACTTTTAGAAATACTACAGTACTTATGGAAGGTTCAAAGTTTCTAATATGACAGTCAGGCCAAGGTTCAATAGGTTTTTATGACAAAGTGTCTTTGCTCAAATCAGTTCCTTTGCAACAATGGTTTGGACTAGATCCATTGCTTTTCTGTCTTTCTCCTTGCTTTTTATCCACATAGCAGCTGTGTCGGTAAGTAGAATTCTGCTCCTCGAGATTTACAAGTATCACTTCTAGTGCACATTAGCCATCTTCTGTATCTTTGTTTCCTTTCAGATCAAACATCTTGCTAAAGGAAATGGTAAGTATCAATTCAAGCGCATAGGATTGTTGCATTTTTTCATGAATTTTCTCTCTTTTGTTCATCAGGGTGACTTACAATTTCCCCCCCACTTTTAACAGCACGTGATACAGATTTGGAACAGAAGGATATTTCAGAAATCAATTTGGGTAAGTTCTGTTTCTGAATTGGTCAGGTCTTGAAATAATTCATATCCTGGTGATGGGATTGCTGAACTTCCCTGGCCTCTCTGTAACACTCCGCCGTGCGCCTGTCCGCCGTGCCGCCTGTCCGCCGTGCCGCCTGTCCGCCGTGCGCCTCTGCGCCGTGCGCCTCTGCGCCGTGCGCCTCTGCGCCGTGCGCCTCTGCGCCGTGCGCCTCTGCGCCGTGCGCCTCTGCGCCGTGCGCCTCTGCGCCGTGCGCCTCTGCGCCGTGCGCCTCTGCGCCGTGCGCCTCTGCGCCGTGCGCCTCTGCGCCGTGCGCCTCTGCGCCGTGCGCCTCTACGCCGTGCGCCTCTACGCCGTGCGCCTCTCCACTGTGCGGCTCCACGCTGTGCGGCTCCACGCTGTGCGGCTCCACGCTGTGCGGCTCCACGCTGTGCGGCTCCACGCTGTGCGGCTCCACGCTGTGCGGCTCTACAGTGTACCTCCCCGCTGTGCGCCTCCCCGCTGTGCGCCTCCCCGCTGTGCACCTCTCCGCTGTGCATCTCTACATTATGTACCTCTACACTGTGTACCTCTCCACTATATATCTCTACACTATGTATCTCTACACTATGTACCTCTCCACTATGTACCTCTCCACTGTGTGTCTCTAGGAGACAGCCTTGGGGATGATGTATTGGGATTGTCAGTTTCTAAAAAGTAGCCATATGGCAACAAGCAAATGGTTTAGTTCAATTTTCAAGGAGAACATTTGAATTCTTACTGGATCTAGAAACATCTAGTACGTTTTCTCTTGAAAATCTCATTGCTTGTAGTTTCTATTTGGGGGGGAAAAAGGATGAGTGGTTATTTTGCTTGACTGAGACAATTCTGAGGAATAAACTTAGGGTTGTTTCATGGGAGGAAAGACCTTATTTTCCTCCCAGCACATTAAATGCACAAACCACTGCCTGGCAATGGGAATCTATATGTTTTTGGCAGTATGGGGTTTGAACTCAGAGCCTTGCACGTGGCAGGCTGGTGCTCCACCTCTGAGACATGACTGCAGCCTCATTTCCATTTAGTCTTACTTTCTGCCTGGACAGGGGTTGCTGGCTTTGGGCTTCTCTCCTAGCTGGACGAGAAGGGTGTGCCACTATAAACTGCCCACCGGGTGTAGTCCTGTGAACCGCAGCCTGCTTGCTGCCAGCTTCCCACACAGCTATTGGTGGAGAAAGCATCTCCCCCGGAGGTCTGGACTGGCCAGGAACTATAGTCCCTGCAACCTCAAGTGTTGAGCTCTGCATGCATCAAGCTAGGGATCTGTAGTTCTGTGTAGTCATCAATTTCACAAATACATTTTTTTTCCTGGGGAAAAAAATCTATCTCTGGTCTCACCCATTACTGAGAGGAATCGAGCAATTAGTTCTACACTCATTGAAACTAGAGGGGAGCATCGACATTTGAGGAGGTTGGAGGGGTTTCTAATTACACAGCCAGCTATTGGCAATCTTTCTTATCCTGCCCTGTCTTGTAGTGCCGGTTTTCTTTCCCAGGAAGGCACAGGAGGCTCCTGAGAGTAAGGCCGACTCACCCACGATCACAGATGAACAGTAACGAGGCCCAAATCCAGATCTTCTGACTCATATCTCCATAGCCAGTGATATTTGAAGATGTCAAAACTTAAAAATTTAGACTTAAAAGGTTAAATTCCTGTGGCTTGGCTCCATTCACCAAGGTAGCTGGTTGATATTTAATAGCTGGAGGATGAAGCTGTGCACAGGGGAGGGCGTATTTGTGAATAAATAGGTCCTGGGACTTCAGCGCCAGGCACTAAACTCTCTCTCTTTGGAGTCAGATAGTCAGCATGTAGGTAATTAAAAACTCTACTGTATTACAATTTTTCATTGTTATTATAAAGGTGATGGACAGAAGGGCCAAAGGTATGTTAGTGAGGCGATGAGTACATTTCTTTCTGAACGATGTCACCCCTGCCCTCATTTTCTCCCAGTTTTCCCTCCCGATCCTCCTCCCCCACAAGTTGTGTAGTTCATTTGCACATAGTGTCTAGTGAGTGTCACTGCTGCATTTGTTCACCCTTTGAGCCACCATCTCTGTGCTCCCCTTCCCGCTCCCCCAAACAGATAAACTTACACACAAGACAAATGGTACAGAAATAAAAAACAGTGACAAAAGAGGAAAACTAAACCACCAAGGAGCAAAATAACATAAAACCTCCTGTTTCTATTTCTTAGAGTTCATTTCACTAAACATCATCTTATATGATCACATGCAACTAGCTATTGAACCTCTGTGATCTTCTCCTAAGAATATCCTCCTTTGGTCTCACTGAATGTCTAGAGCCCTGCATATCATGTCCAAATGTAACTTTTGTGTTTTGCCTTCCAGTGTGTTTACTTGTAGATTTATAGGCACATTCTAATTATTACAAATGAGGGAAAGCATGCAACCTATGTGTCTTTGGGTCTGGCTTACTTAATATAATTTTTTCCGAGTCTTTCCATTTCTTTATGAATGGTACAATATCATCCTTTATGGTGGAAGCATAGATTTCCATTGTGTATATATACCACATTTCTTGATCCATTCATCTGCTGAGGAGCATCTGCGTTGAATCAATGCTGTAATGAACATAGTTGTGCTGGTAGCTTCTGTGTGGCCTTAGATAAATGGATCAAAGGTCTCAATATAAGGCCAGATACCATGGAAATATTACAGAAAGGGGTAAGAGAAACACTAGAGCTCCTGGGCATAGGTCAAAACTTTCTAAGTAAAGATCCAGAATCACAACAAATGGAAGAGAATGGATGATTGGGAGTATATCAAACTGAAGCATTTCTGTATGGCAAAGGACATAGCTAACAAAATAAATAGAAAAGCCACAGAGTGGGAGACTTTTTACTAGCTATGTATCAGACAACGGCCTCATATCTAAAATACACAGCGCTAAAACACCCACCACCCAATAAACTCTCAAAGAAATAATCCAATTAATAAATGGACTAAAGACTTAGAGACTTCTCAGGAGCAGAAATAAGAATGTCCAATAGACACATGAAGAAATGTTCAACATCTCTGGACAGAAAAGAAATGCAAATCAAACAACATTGAGATTTCACCTCACCCAGGAAGAATGGCCATTATCAAGAACACTAACAATAATAGATGCTGGCAGGGTTGGGACCAAAAGGGAATGCTACTACATTGGTGGTGGGAAACTTGTTCCACTGCTCTGGAAATTAGTATGGAGGTTCCTCAAAAGACTAAGCATAGAGCTTCCCTATATTTATAGGCACATTCTAATTTCTACAAATGAGGGAAACCATGCAATCTCACTCCAAATGTATTGTATTTTGAAACAGAGCGGGGATCAAATTAGTTTTTATCATTCCCATCCTCATTTATTTATGGAAATGAATTCCTTACCTCTGAGACATGTCTTATTCGAGGATGCTCACTGCTGCCTCTGCACCTATGGCCTGGTGAAGAAATCTCTCCACCAGGTGAAGATTTTAGGCCATAAGAACTAAACTACCTGGATGGACTGGCTCAGCCATGTGGCTAGAGTTTCACATCACAGATCAAGTAGTGCGTGTGTGCGTGTGTGCGCGCACACACACACAGATTTAAAATGAAGATCTGTAATGGTAAAAGTTTAGTTTCTGTGAGAGATCCTTTTTAAACAATATTAACTCAAGTATTCTTTGCTTTTAATCCACATCTAGCCGCAGGCTTGGACCTCTTTCAGGGTGACATCCTTCTGCCGCCGGTGAGTCTACCAGTGGCCAATGACACCATGGGGTGGGCTGCACCCTGGGGGGTGGGGTCGGAGAGCCCTCCTCTGTGATCATCCCCGGGGGAGCTATGTGAAGAAGACAAGATCCGAATCCAACATCTGTGTCCATAGGTGCTTCTGCGAACTGGCAGTGACACCAATAGCAGCAACCCAGAGAACCACACAAAGAGTTCACAATGATTGAGTGGCTTATCTATTCAATTTTCCTAATGAGCAGAGAGAGAGACAGACAGACAGACAGACAGACAGACAGACAGACAGACAGACAGAGACAGAGAGACATTGTGCTGACATTGCCAGGGCTATGTCAGTTGGGGAACTGTAGATCCTGTTTTGTTCTCCTTTTTTTGTAAAAAGGTAATTTTCTCTTTGAATTAAGATGCATTTATAGGATGAGGCCTTTCATTGTGACGTGTTTACATTTGTAATGAGAGTCCATTGTGATGTTTCCGTGCACTTTGATGATGAGAGGGCAGTTGCACTGAATTGCTTGGATTTCTGGGTTCCGAGGGGTGTGAAATTTTCCTGAAGGAGGAGGTCAAGGTGACCTTGAGAGCAACAAGGCTGCCCAGTCATGTCTACTTTTGTTTCCCTAGAAATCCAGAAACGGTCTGAGAGACCCAACTTACAGGTGGAAGTTCCCCATTCCTTACATCCTGGCTGACAATCTAGGTAACTGCAAGTATTCTTTTTTTAAAAAATTATCTTTAAGTATTTGTACAAAGGAGTCACCATTTAACAAAGCACTTTATGAAAACAATGCATCTTGATCCATGTCACGTCTTTTAACATTCTTACCTTAGGAGTTCTGGTTTAGATCTCTGTTCCTTTCTCCTTTTTCTAGATTTCAAACTAAGAGTGACCATCTATCATCATCTCTGATGATTCTTTATCTCATCGGAAAAAAAAGACATCCCATCCCAAAACAGAGTTGCATGACCAGTCTCACAGGGAGTGTCAAAGAATTATTCAAAAACCGCAGCACACATTAAAAGGCTAATGGAGCCAGAAGCAAGAGAAATGAGATAGAATTTAACATCATAACTGAAAATTTCTCCATTTTCTTTAGTGTTGTTCAGTCACGGGGCTTGAACTCAGGGTCTGGGCACTGTCCCTGAGTTTTTTAGTTCAAGGTTGGTGCTCTACCATTTTGAGCTAGACCTCTACTTGCAGTTTTCTGATGATTAATTGGAGATAAGAATCTCACAGACTTTCCTGATCAGGCTGGCTTCAAACCACAATCCTCAGATCTCAGCCTTCTGAGTAACTCAGATTACAGGCACGAGCCACTGACGCTTAGCAAAAACCCGTGTTGTCAATACTTGGTTTAGGTGACACTGCCTATGATAGGAGAACACAAGTTCTAAGGTGGATTCTTCCTTTTTGTAGTGCCAGAAAAAGATGCCGTACTTTCTCATGTTCATTGTCCTTTTACCTCCGCAGTCATGAGTTCTACTTTTTCTCTCTAAAGATCTGTGTAGTACCTTTGCTTTACTGTTGGAAATAGTATTGAGTGGAATTGAATAAACACTGAAAGCCAGGTGCAGGTGGTGGCTGCTCTCCTAATGGCTGATGAATGTCCAAACCACGATGGTTCTGGGCATATAAAGTCATTCTTCATGGGTGGTGGATGGAGAGAAGAAGAGCCGCCAGGAACTTCTCCATCTGCAGAATTGCTGGTGGGTGAAATCACATTTCATGATCTCCCATCACTGTTTCCAGTGCTGCCTCAGGCCCCGTTCACAAAGAACAGCTAGATAAGTGAGCATTGTCCTCAGTTGCTCTGCAGGAAAATGAATTATGTTCACCAGCACACACTTGCAAACCCACGAAGCAGCAATGTGTCCTGGAGCCTGGTTTAAGAAACACAAACTCCTATGCTCACTACTTTCTGTTCTTTCTTCCTGCTTGTCACAGCTGGACACCCCATCCTTTCTCCGATGTGTATTTTTGGTGCAGCATGGAGCAATTGTAGCCCTGTGTTTTTATTGTCTAAGCAAAGGTTATTTCTTTCATGGCCTTTATCTCATCTTATGATATCTACACTGTGGGATCTCCAGCATGGTCATTAAATAAGATTAAATATTAAGATTAAATGAGATTACATAAAAATAAGGGCCAGAAAGTCCTAGATACAATTATTTGGAAAGATGGCCAAGGATTTTAAATGGAAGGAATCTAAATTTTAAGGAATTTAAGTTTTAAGATGGCCAAACGAGGGCTTCACCTCAACAGTGTGAAGAATATGATTTAATTTTATAGAACACGGTTTAATTTTTAACTAGATCTTACCCTTCAACGAGTTGATGGGAGGAAAGAAGAAACGCACCCTAGTACAATTCCTGTCTCCAGTCCTCTGAAACACCCTCCCTCCTCCCCCATCTCTTATCAAGCCACACCAAAGCGTGCACACACGTTAGTTTGAAGGGAAGGCATCTGACCTTTGGCCGCCCACCCTCACAGCTGCGCATCCCTTGTTCCCACCTTTTCAGGCTTTAGGCTCCTGTTGCTATGGTAGCAAGCATGGAGAAGAACAACCTTTTCCAAGGCCATGAGTGAACAGTGCTGGCTATCGAGCCTGGCCTGCTGGAGCAATCTCACAGAGAAAACACCACTGCTTCTGGTGCTTGCAGAACCTGTGCATCCTCTTAGCTGCCCTCCCTGGGGCTGGAGGGCATGTCTTTTTAGTCTGGGGCAAAAAATACGATTTTTTTTTTTTAGTGCTTCTCTCCAAGATACTTCTGCAAACAAAAAGCTAGAGTGAATCACAAGCCTTTTTTTTTTTTTGGGTTCCGGTCGTGGGGCCTGAACTCTGGGCCTGGGCACTGTCCCTCAGCTCTGCAGCTCAAGGCTAATGCTCTACCACTTGAGCCACAGCGCCACTTCTGGCTTTTTTCTTTATGTGGTGCTGAGGAATCGAACCCAGGGCCTCAGGCATGCAAGGCAAGCGCTCTGCCACTGAGCCACCTTCCCAGCCCCATCGCAAGCCTTTTCCACCTTCTTCTCTGCTGCGTGATTCTCCTTCAGCAATGCCTTCAGCAATCCCTGGGTGAATGGAGGGAAAAAGAGGAAAGCTTCAAGTATTTCGTGATCCTATGCACACACGTGGCTTATTCTGAGTCATGTGGGCATTGTGGATTTAAAGGATGCTTAGCATGCTTCTCTCCCCAACTCCCTTTACAGTTTGGGTTTTCAATGATTCCCTTTCGATTTATTGAGTCCAAATTCCACAATGAGTGCTCTTCATTTCACGGAGTGGCATGGTTCTGTATAAACTCTACATTACACCCATTATCCAAGATCTACGTAACACACACTGACGCTCACTCAACTTGTCCTGACTTCCCCAGAGCTGAATGCAAAAGCAGCCATTCTGTATGCTTTTGAGATGTTCCACCTCAAGTCCTGTGTGGAATTCAAACCCTACGCAGGCGAGAGCTCATACATCATATTCCAGCAATTTTCTGGGTAAGTCTGAAATATTACAGACTATGATCTTCCTTCAGTCTTTTTTTCCTTATTAATAGATGTCAAATCCATTAGCACTGGGGTCTTTGATGGGAGCAAGCAGCATTTTTAACTATTGGCCAACTCAGTATTGAATTGATTCAGCTCAGTATTGAATTAAATATGGACCCTGCTTCCAAATTTAAAGCCCATAGGGGCCTAATTTATGGAAGGCTTGTACTTACTAGTCAAGAGATGCGATTGGATGTATGTGAAAGATTAAAAATCATCAGGAAAGAAAGCAGCCGGCTCTCCCATAAGGAACTTCAGGACTTTACCAGAAGTTTCCGAGGTAACTGGTTTTTGAAGGAAGTTTTGGCCATCCCTTATCCCTCAGAAATAAGTTAGTGAGTGTGACGTGTTCACAGCCATAAAGTTCATTAGGCCCCTTTTTAGTGCAGTTGTCTTCACAGTTATAGAACTACACACCTACTCATTACAGACTTTGGGAGTTTATTAAAACATACAAGAGAAAATTTAAATCAACCATGTCACTACTCAGAGACAATATTTTCAACCAAAGGCAATAATGTTTTTTTTTTCTTTGCCATGACCTTTAGTCTCATGGACATAAAAAAGGATTCCAAATTTTACTCTTTTTTTTAAATCTTGATTTATTATTAGGATCAACTTGCTTCTACACATTGAATACTTTTTAATGGCTCATCATTTTTTAAGGCCTGTATTACAGTTTCTACCAGAATGATCCTTGTGAAACAATTTCCCTGTCAGAATGGTTAGAATATAAAAATGCTATGTAATTCCATTTTAAAGTTCATTAAAAGTTTCTGTTTCTAATTGGTGTATAATAATTGTGTGGTTTAGGAGGTTCTGTGTCCTGTTGGTGCATATGTTAACACTGTGTCAAAAATTAGCCAGTAGGTACAAACTTACAATTAGGCAGGAGAAAGAAGTCCTTGTATTGTATTATGTACCACATAACTACAGGAAACAAATTGTATTGAACCTTTCCAAATAGCTAGAAGGGCATGCATGAATATTTTTACTACAAGTAGTAATTTTAAAAAAATCATGGAAGTAGAGCTGTGGCTCAAAGTGGTAGAGTGCTGGCCTTGAGCAAAAGAGCTCAGGGACAGCACCCAGGCCCTGAATTCAAGTCCCACAACCACCAAAAATAAGTAAGTATATAAATAAATATTTCTCTAGGGAAAACCAAAACAACACAAACCTCCATTCCTTCTCTGGACAGGTGCTGGTCTCAGGTTGGTGACCTCCACGTGGGACAGAATCTCTCCATTGGTCTGGGGTGTGACTATAAGGCCATCATTGAACACGAGATCCTGCACGCACTGGGGTTTTACCACGAGCAGTCCAGGACCGATCGGGACGATTATGTGAACATCTGGTGGGATGAGATTATCCCAGGTGTGTATGGCACCGGCGTGGCTGGGTGGAAGTGGCTGTGGTTTTGGTGGCTGGTTGAGGACAGCCCTGGGACGCCCCGACTCTGTGTGTGGAGGTGCTTTCCAGTCGGAGAGCCTGCAGTTTGCTTTCTCCCCGGATCACGCAGATTCAGGGTCCTCACTGACCCCCTAAAAAGGGACTCAGTGAGTTGCGCATGTGGGTCCTTCCTGTGGGGATGGCTGGAAGGTTTATCAGAAGCTCCTGCCATGTACCCATCGTTCTGCTAAAACTCTATACCTCTATATGTACTTTCCTGGCTTAAAGAGTAATGTGCATTGGGCCTCACAGGGCATGAGATGTATGTTTTTCTGCCCATGAACTGCTCTGTGGCTCAAGAAGGCTAGAGAAGGCTGAGATCATGACACGAGGACACACTCGAGTTTTCTTGTGGGCTTTCCCCAATCACGAATGGGTATTGAAAACTCCAAACAGGAAACATCATTGGTTGAGCAGTTCCCACATATTCCAAAAATACAAGCTGGTGCTCTTTTTTAAAATAGAAATAACTAATTCAGGGAATAGCAAATGTGTTAATTTGGGCAATAATTAATGAATAAAACTTTAGTACATGAAACGCCTTGACGATGATCCCCGCATGGCTGTGATAAACCAATACTCATTGCCTTGTGTTGGCATTTATCTTATTATTGTATTTTATGTATTTTATACTTCCAAGCAAAGATCTTGCTATATAGCCTGGAGTCTCCTAGAACTCACTCTAGCTCCAGCTACCTCTAACTCACCAAGCTCTGGCTTTAGTTGCTGGAATGACAGATGGACATCCACACACCTGGAAGTATCTATTTTTTATTTAGGTCCTAATGTCATATAAGGGCTCATGTTGTACTTCATATGTGATCCTGTTACTCCTGTTGCCTTGGAAGAACTGGTCAAACCGTAAAATTCAATGTGAATCCAAGAAAAGATTTCTAGCTCATTTTGAAGAAAGATGGTTTCCTGGTCCTCATAGGAGGTAGGGGCAGGGACAAATGGATGGTAGCAAAATCTCCTATGGGTTTTCTCAACCCATGCACCTCCTAGCCCCTCACAGTCTGAAAATTCCATGACTGTGGAGTGGTGGAGAAAGAAGGAACTATAATCTATCAATACATAATCGATTAACAGGACGAAATCTACCTATACAATCCAAACACCTGATTCTCTGGACACTGAGCTACAGGCCATACCACATTGTGTTCTTTGCCTCCTCATCTAACCTAAAAACCTTTTTGAGAAGAGACTCCGTGTGTGTGTGTGTGTGTGTGTGTGTGTGTGTGTGTGTGTGTGTGTTTGTACACGCGTGCACGCGCGCATGCGCATATGCACACACACTATCCTAACTGGATAGTCAGGGTGAATAGAGGGAATGGAGGAATGGAGTCATAGGTCAAAGGACCGGATCTCTCTGACTGTGAGGCCCAGGGTGCGGATGGACTTTATCTGTATTTGCCTACACTCCGCAGTGTCTTCCCTTCACATCCCTGGAAGCTGGCTTTCATGGAAATTTCCCAAGTCCTCACAAAACACTCCCCTTCTTAAAGCAAACACCACTCACTATTTTGAGGCAATTTTAGAACCCAGGAGAGTATGCCAACCCATTTGCTAGTGCAATCTGCAGACTCGCTCAGCCGGGACGTGAATTGCTCAACCCAAGCTTTTCCTCTCGTATCTTTGCTTCCCTATCTGTAAATTGCCCGCAATCAGCACAGTTTGGGATGGGACATCATATCCAATAAGGTCGTAAATGAGGGCGGTGCGGTTCTCCAGGTGCTTCGTGACTTTCATTTGATCTCTGATCCAGCTGACACGGTTTTGCCGCCGTCCTCAGTGAATCCCGTACAAGCAAAGCCGTTTCTCTCTCCAAGTCTATCTCATTTCCAAAGTTAGAGTTGTCGCTGCTCCCTCCCGCTGAGGAAAACACGACACTTCTGAGCCTCGCGGAGATGGGTCCCGTATATGTATTTTTTGTGTGTCTGTTATAACATAGATATTTTCTTCTGGCTGTTTGCAATTATTTTAGAATATTATATAACAATATTATTGTGATCTTAATTATTAGTAATCACACATCCTAATGGTATAGAGAGTATTCATTATAAAATATGTTTGTGTGGTTTTTCATTTTGTTTGGTTTTTATGAAACAGAGTCTCACTAGGTAAACCAGGCTGGCCCCAAGCTCATGGTCTTGCTACCTGGCTCCTTTGAAAGCTGGGATTACTGGTGTCCATTCCATGATCAGTTTGTAAAATGTCTGTGTATATATACTTAAATCAGAGATACATTATTCCCCTTGCAGACTCTCAGGATCCAGCCATAAAGGAAGGGTTGGAGGAAAATAACGGGACTGAGTGGGAACTATGGTTTTTCTTTTCCTCCCACCCAGGTTACGAGCACAACTTCAACACCTACGATGACACCTTCATCACGGATCTCAACACGCCCTACGATTATGAGTCTCTGATGCACTATGCCCCTTTTTCCTTTAACAAGAATGAAAGCGTCCCGACCATCACAGCCAAGATCCCTGAGTTCGACGCCATCCTTGGGCAGCACCTGGATTTCAGCGCCATCGACTTGGAGAGACTGAACCGGATGTACAACTGCAGTGAGTCCCTCCCTGCGCCCGGCCGGGATGCCCTCGCCCGGGCCCTGTCATCCGCCACGCTAGCATCCCGACGTTTCCTTCCACTCCTCTGTCAGCTTCTGGCTGGAGGAACATGGAGAACCCTATCACCTTACGTGTTCTGTCTAGACAAGAAAAACAAAGAATAGCAGTAATTACTAATAAAACAACAGCAACACTCAAATCATAGCAATAGTAATAAAATAGTCGCTACTGGAATGATTGGTTAGGAAAGCCAATTACACCGTTGTGTTTCGTAAGGGTATTGCACCGAAGCAAAAACAAAAACAAAATGAAAACTAACTCTTTTCATGAAATGTCTTTAGTTCCCTTTCAAAGGGGGAATAATCATGTAAAGTTGAGATAGACGATGAATTCAAAAGCATTTTGTAGCGTGGTGATTCCTAGAGGACTCTAGACCTATGAGGTAGGGTATTTTATCAGATGACCGTCCTCGTCTTCAGAGGCAGACTTTAATTCTGTCCTGCAGCTGTGTACAGTGCACTTTGCAGCTGCACAGTTCAGGACGGGAGCGACCCTGTTCTAGACCTAAAGAAGTCAGTGCCTGGCTGTGAGCTGGGCAGGCCGTGTCTGCATTGCCAGCTTCTCAGTGCTACCTGGGGCCTGTAGGATTTGCGGTTTAGAAAGCCTCAGGACAGGGGGCAGCTCCTCGTCCTCTCGTATCTGAAGGAGACCTCCAGGAGATTGCGGTGGCTTGGGACACTCTTGGGAATGAATGCCTCTCGCTGTCCATTGTCCCTTGCAGCCAGCACTCACACGCTTCTGGACCACTGCGCGTTTGAGAAGACAAACATCTGTGGGATGATTCAGGGTACGCGCGATGATGCTGACTGGGCCCATCGGGACAGCGGCCAGCCTGGACAGACGGACCACACCCTGGGGGGCCGGTGCACAGGTGGGTGAGGGCTGAAGTTCAGTACATGGGGGTGGGGGGGTGGGGCTAGGGCGATCATGGCCACCAGAAGGTTCTGCTCAGAACGTTTATCCTCAAAGCATGACCATCTGAATAAGGACAAAGAATGCTGCTGTTCGTATCTCAATTACCAACTCAACTAAACACACAAACAAACAAAAATCCAGGCTCTGAGTGTGAAAACAAAAGGCATGTTTCAGCAATGACTAAACTGATAGAGGCAGCTGCTTGCTAAGACACGATGATGTAAATAAGAGTAATATCTCTACATGTGTGCTCTCCCTCCAACAGAAATAAAATGCTAGCCATATAGGAATAGAAGTTTGTTTGTTTTTGTACTGTTTCTGTGGCTTAAACTCAGGGCCTGGACACTGTCCCTAAGCTTCTTTTGCTCATGCTCTATCACTTTAGCCACAGCTCTACTTCCAGTTTTTGTTTTTTTGGTAGTTTATTAGAGATAACTGTCTCATGGACTTTCCTGCCCAGGCTGGCTTTGAACTATGATCCTCAGATCTCAGCCTCCTGATTAGCTAGGACTACAGGTGTGAGCCACCAGTACCTGGCCTCCTGCAGAGTTTTTATACAACTAGGAGACTGACTTTTTCTTGAAGTGAATCTCTAATTCAAACCAGCTAATTCAGCACAGGAAATAGAACTTACCTCACAGAGACACAACACTACCATACATTAGTTGCAGCTTATGTTTGTCAGAGGTGTATGTTTCAAGCCCAGGGAAGGAAGCTGATCGAGAGACAGGAAACTAGGAGTTGCTGTAACCAGTGCTCTCAGGATGGTCACAGGAAGACTGCAGGGACCGGCCTGGGGTGCATGGTGAGACCCTGTGGAAAACCACAGTGAGAGCAGGGGCGATGGGGAAGCGAGAGCTTACTCTGACGGAACTGAAATGCACGCATGTGCAGAACACCATGGTGATACACCTGCATGGGAGCAGCGCTTGCCACGAATGACAGAAGACTCAAACAGGCTGGGGGGAGGGGTGGCTATGAACATAGTCCTTGCTATGCATATACGAAAACTGAACAATGAGACCTGCTGGAATTGTTTGAAGGAGAGCGGAGGATGGAGAGGCAGAGGATGAGAGGCTCCCTTGATCTCCACACCGTGTATGATTATACGGACACCATGGAACCCCACTAATAGAAGCTAATTTAAAATGTTAGACACCTAAACAGAACAAAGACGTAGAGCCGGACGCTCGTGGCTCACGCCTGTCATCCTAGCTACTCAGGAGGCTGAGATCTGAGGATCGCGGTTCAAAGCCAGCCCAGGCAGGAAAGTCCATGAGACTCTTAAAAACACTAGAAAATTGGAAGTGGTGCTGTGGCTCAAGTGGTAGAGCGCTCGCCTTGAGCTGAAGAGCTGAGGGACAGCTCCCAGGCCCAGAGTTCAGGCCCCATGACCAACAACAACAACAAAATGACATAGGCAGGCAGAGAGAGAAGAGGCAGGTGGCGGCTGCCCTCGGAGAAGTGTTTGCTGGCAAACATTGATGTTGCTGGGGAGGGTTCTCGCTTTGGGCCCGGGCGCTGTCGGGTGTGGAGACGCGATCTGAACGCGCGCCCCTCTCCACAGGTGCCGGCTACTTCATGCACTTCAACACTAGCTCCGGGGCCGCAGAGGAGGCTGCCCTGCTGGAGTCGCGGATTCTTTACCCCAAGAGGAAGCAGCAGTGTCTGCAGTTTTTCTATAGGATCACAGGAAGCCCTTCAGACAGACTCACCGTGTGGGTCAGGAGGGACGACGGCACGGGCAGCGTGCGCAAGCTGGTCAGGATGGAGACGCTTCGAGGTGCGCGACGTCCACCGAAGGCTCAAAGCCTAAGACAGAGCTTCCCTCCCTCCACCATCTCCTCCCGCTGAAGCCTTCTACCTCTGTCTACCTTCCTCCTCCTCCTCCTCCCTCATCTTCCTTCTCCTCTTCCTTCTTTCCTCCTCCTCTTCTACTTCCTCCTCCTCCTGTTCCTTCTCCTTTTCCATTTCCTCCTCACTCTTTCTTCTCCTTCTCTTTTCTCCCTGACCCTCTGAAAATCGATAATAGCATCTGGCAAGTTGTACCAGACAAATTTAAACATTCAAGCGCAAGGAGCACTGAGAGTTTCAAAAAGAATTACATATACTTTTGTGCACTTTTGTGCAAGGACAATCAGAATATAGAAATCCATTTTCCCCAGTATTTTGAAGAACATCAGGGCCAGGAGGAAGGGAGGGAGAGAGAGAGAGAGAGAGAGAGAGAGAGAGAGAGACAGAGAGACAGAGACAGAGACAGAGAGAGACAGAGAGACAGAGAGACAGAGAGACAGAGACAGACAGACAGACAGACAGACACAGAGAGAGACAGAGAAACAGAGACAGAGACAGAGAGGAGGGAGGGAGAGGGAGAGGAGGAGAGGGAGGGGAGGGGAAGAGAAGGAAGAGGAGGAGAGGAGAGGAGAGGAAAGGAGAAAAGAGGAGAGGAGAGGAGAGGAGAGGAGAGAAGAGGAGAGGAGAGGAGTAGGCAGAGATTAGAAGGGAAGGGTAGAAGGAAGTCAAGCTGAAGAGTTAAGTTAATGACCTTAAGAGTTTTCCGTATCTATTACAGAAAACGGAATACCAGCATTTAAGGTGCTGTGCTGAAGGAACTGGGAAGGTAGTTGTGACGCTGGAGGAGATGGCGGCTGACTATAGGTCAAGTTCACTTCAGTTACTTTCATGCCAAGTGCTGCTTCCTGTGTTTTTCAAGGAGTCAGCATGAAGTCTTAATCTTCTTTTTTTTTGGGGGGGGGGGGTCTGGTCCTGGGCCTGAACTCTGGGCCTGGGCGCTGTCCCTCAGCTCTTCAGCTCAAGGCTAGTGCTCTACCACTATGAGCCACAGTGCCACTTCCGGCTTTTTTCTTTTTGCTTATGTGGTGCTGAGGAATCGAACCCAGGGCCTCATGTATGCAAGGCAAGCGCTCTACCACTGAGCCACCTTCCCAGCCCCAAAGTCTTAATCTTCTAAGGCAGGTGGCAGGATTGGAGATGGGATGGAGGTCCTGTTGGCATTCTTTGGATGTGGTGAAGGCTCATTCATAACTGCACAAAGAGACAAACTTGTTTTTGCTCAAGGTTAGCGCTCTACCTCTTGAGCCACAGCTCCACTTCTGAATTTGGTGGGGTTTTTTTTTTGGCTCTTATTTATTTTGGTGATTAATTAGAGTCTCACCGACTTTCCTCCCCAGGGTGTCTCTGAACTGTGATCCTCAGATCTCAGCCCTGAGTAGCTAGGGTTATAGGTGTGAAGCCCCAGTGCCTGGCCAGAGTATATCTTTTTAAAACTGTTTTTAACTTTGAAAGCTACACACCCCGTCTGCAGTAATAATACCTCGCTCCCAGGATTGTTGTGGGGATTGGAGGAGATAACTGATACCATCGTTAGCACTCAACAAATTGTGGCCACATTTGCCTGTCACCAGCCTTATTCTCTGTCCTCAGGAGACTCGGACCATCGTTGGAAAATTGCCCATGTGACGCTGAAAGAAGAGAAGAAATTCCGTTACCTTTTCCAGGGCACGAGGGGTGACCCTCAGAACTCGGCTGGGGGGATTTACCTGGATGATGTCACCCTGACAGAGACTCCCTGCCCCACAGGGGTGTGGACCATACAGAACATCTCTCAGTTCCTTCAGAGCGCCGCTCAGGGGGACAGGCTCCACAGCCCCCGGTTCTACAATTCTGAAGGCTATGCCTTTGGGGTGACCGTGTACCCCCGTGGCCGAGTAACCTCTGTGGACCCTGAGCACGTGGGGCTTGCATTTCACCTGTGCAGCGGGGAAAACGACGCCATTCTCGAATGGCCGGTGATGAACAGACAGGCGATAATGACCATCCTGGAGCAGGAAGCCGACGTCAGGCACCGGATGTCCCTAAGCTTGATGTTCACTACTTCTGAGTCCCATACATCTCCAGGTAAGAGATGCTCATGGCCTCTGGCTTCTGTGTCGGTCTATGTAAGTGGTTCTCCTGACCTCCGGTTTAAGGGGTCGGACACAAGTCAGAACTTGCCCTCGATTGGGAAGGTCCACCAGCTACGGTTCTAAACTAGATAGCTAAGAGGAACCCAGCCTTCATATGCCCAAACCCCCTGCGGACATGTCACCAGGGCTGGAATGTTAAATTAAAATTTTCAATCCCATCTCCTCCCTTCTTTCCTAAATGCCTTCATCCAGGGTCTTTTGAGGACCTCTGTCTGAGAGACTTAGCTCTAAGCACTCCATGGGCTCCCGCTCACTGAGCTTAGTTCCTTGGGAAGGCAGATTTGGCTCATGGGTCATCAGCACCCAGTGTGCTGGGTTCTCTTCTGAGCTGATGTTCTGCCTCTGAAAATATTACTTTATGTGGACATGGCCTAAGAAAAACTTAGACCAATTGAAGATGGGCAAAATGTGAATTCCAAAGAAGAGACTTACGCCTTAAAATGAGGCAGGTGCTGTCCTTCGTCAGGGCCGTGGCTCCCAGGGCCCCCGTTGGCCCCGGGCGCTGGTGGCCCCCCTTCTCACCTCCCAGGGCAGAGTCCTAGCTCGGCTGGAAAAAGTAAACCTCATGTGTTTTCTTTCCTGATTATTATTAACCAACAAAACCCTAGCTGTTCATCGAGGCCGCCGGGAGAGTGAAGTACAAAAGGTAACGTGGTTTTGCATCACCTGTGTCTTCGCAGCCATAAATGGCTCTGTCATCTGGGACAGGCCTTCCAAGGTGGGAACCTATGACCAGGACTGCGATTGCTTTAGAAGCTTGGACTGGGGCTGGAGTCAGGCCATCTCCCACCAGATGCTGAGAAAGAGGAGCTTCCTGAAAAACGACGACCTCATCATCTTCGTGGACTTCGAAGGTACTTTCCCTGCGTCTCCAGGCCTGAGTCCCACAGGTGCTGGCAGGGAGCCGTCTTGTAATGAAGTTCTCAAGGACCTATGCTATCTCATTTCATTTTATTTTTTACATCAATTGCTTAATTGACACATACAAATCAGGGTACTAGGTGGGTGGTGTGTTTTTTAAAGCAATTTACTTGTCTTTAAGTAGTTGCACAGAGGAGTGGCCATCCAACAAAGCAGTTCATGAACACTGTGTGTCTCCATCAATGTCTTTCCCTTTCCCGCCCACCCTTCCTCGTGCTCTTCATTTTGAAGGACGTCGATGGAATGTTTTTGGCCATTGCGTATGTACGCAATGCACCTTGATCCCTGTCACCCCTCCCTCATTTCCCCACACACCCCTCCCTCATTTTTCTTAATTTTGTGGCATATATGCAATGGATTGGCGGGAAGATGGGAGAAGGCAGCCAAGCGTTCCTTGTAAACACCCCAAAATCAGGCGGCTGTGTTGACACGCGTGTTCACTGTGTGACAAGCATGTCTAGAGCCTCAAACATCCATCAGGCCTTTGTGGCCAAGCCCATCATCTGTAACTGCTACCCGGGAGACTTAAGACGTTATCGTTCGTATCTGCCGTTCTTTTGGTAACTCATCAGCTAGGCCAGGCTGGCGCCATGGGAGGCTGGTCTTCTCCCTTGGTGTTTTTGTTCAAGGCTGGCACTCCACCCTTGAGCCCCTGCGCCCCTCTCTCAAGCAGGACAGAGCGCTAACTTGGGTTTAGTGTCAGTCTACGCATGCTCACTGGCCGCATTCCACGTTCCCCCGCTCTTCCGTCGCTCTAGGGAAGCCACCCCGAGGCATCTTTCTGCAGACATTGATGTTCATGTCAACCATGGCTGACCAAGCATTTTCCTCTCTGTGTTTCCCGAAGATATCACCCACTTGCGGCGGACTGAAGTTCCCACCACCGGCCGGAGACACAGCCCGCAAGGCCTCATTCTCCATGACCGGGAGTCTCTGGCCTCAGAAGAAGGTTCTGGAAGGGCTGCATTCAATGAAGCGCTTCCTGGCGATCTGGCCGCGGGGCGACAGAAGCGGTCGGTGGAGAACACGGGTCCCCTGGAGGACCACAACTGGCCCCAGTACTTCAGGGACCCCTGTGACCCCAACCCTTGTCAGAACGAGGGCCTCTGTGTGAACGTGAAGGGCACGGCCAGCTGCAGGTAGGCGCTGTGCACCGGGGAGGGGTGGGCAGAGGGGACGGGGCATTGAGTCACCCGGCCAGCGCACGTCTGTGTCAGATGCACGACCGGGTAGGTGCCCAGGCTGTTGGGTTTGATCTTTTCCCCACCCCTGGGCCACTGCCACCCGTCATTGGCATAGTGCTGGGTTTTCTACCTCTGCCGTAGTGCTGGAATAAACAGGGTCTGTTCATGAAGTGCCTATGTGTCCCCAGCGCTTGAGAGCCAGAGCACCTTCGTTCTTCCACACTTAGAGAGAAATGAGACTCGTTAACATTTGACTTAAGGTTGTCTGGAAGTTTTAAAGTTCCAACTATTTCTTTCACTCAGGAGTATCTCAGTAACTCATTGTCTGAACCAATGTCTGATGATGTCCTCTTCCTCCTCCTCCTCCTCCTCTTCCTCTTTCTCCTTCTTCGTCTTTTTTTTTGGTGCTGGATCTGGGGTTTGAACTCAGGGCCTAGACACTGTCCCTGAGTTTTTGTACTCAAGCCTAGCTCTCTACCAGATGAGCCACAGATCCACTTCTGGTTTCTTTGGTAGTTTAGTGGAGACAGGAATCTCACAGACTTTCTTGCCTGGGCTGGCTTTGAACCACGATCCTCAGATCTCAGCCTCCTGAGTAGCTGGGATGACAGGTGTGAGCCACTAGTGCCTGGATGGTGGTATATTCTTAAGTGACCTTCTGAATTCTTAATGGCTAAGAAAACCAGGTCTGGTGGCCAAGCCTCAAATATTTCCTAAACATGTGACCCTGAACACGTGACTTTGCCTTTCTGACAGCAAGCTTGATGAAAATGGCTGGATATGAACCTGCATTTCTAAGGGCCGTGGGGGGATTAAATTAGCCGACTGCCATGTGGCCTGTGGAGTGGGTTCCAGGCACGTGGAAGCAGCTGGTAACTGCGTCCTGCCTTCCCTCTGCGGCGGCCGGTTGTCGGGGAGCACTGGGCCCCGAGTGCCGTGCTGCGCACACTCCTCCTGTGTCCTGTCTTCCCAGGTGCGTCTCTGGACATGCCTTCTTCTACACAGGCGAGCGCTGCCAAGCCATGCAGGTGCACGGCCGCGTGCTGGGCCTGATCATTGGAGGCACCGCCGGGGCCATCGTCATGACTTTTGTCCTCAGCTCCATCATTTTCCAAAGGTCCAGGCAGTGACTTGCTGGCCGGCTGAGATCAGGCGGACCGCAGGAGCTTCCCCTCCACTCAGACCTTCCTTCCTTCAGCCAGCAGAGAAGGACCGGGGTCTCTGGCCTTACGTGTGGCCCTGGTCACTTTTCTTCCCACACACTGTTCTGTGATGCTGCCACGCGCCCCCGGTGTGGCTGCATATCCCACCACAAAGCCTTTCCTGCTTTACATGCGACTCACTCACTCGCCCGACTGTCTTTACAACAGCACGCAAGCTCCACCAGGGCGGGCGTTTGATCATCGTCTCCCACGAAAGCCCCGCAGCCCCAAGGTGTGTCTGGCTGACACGGTGTGTGTGCTCCCTGTGATCAAATAACCCGATAAGGGAGGGACGGAGGCCCAGAGCCTCCTCCCTCTCTTCTCTTCTGACAGATAAGTGCCATGACGTGAAACTTAAATACTCATTTTTCACCACATGCGGTCGTAGGGCTCCTCTGTCAACACTTCGTTAAAGATTTCGAAGGAAGATTTCTCTGGGAAGCTACTTCTTCCTCTTATTCTAAGCCAATGACTTTAATAAATACATAATTGGGATTTTCTTTGTGTCCGGTATTCTGTGTGTGTGTGTGTGTGTGTGTGTGTGTGTGAGAGAGAGAGAGAGAGAGAGAGAGAGAGAGAGAGAGTTAGGGGTTGGGTGGAAACATTAACACCCCTTTTACAGATTTTTAAATATTTAAGTATATTTCATAGCCTAGGTATAGGGTGTATGATATTATAAACATGTGTATTCTAAACAGACAGAAAGTACCGCAACGAGTATTTTCAGCCACATTTTGTTTCTGCAGGTCCCGAGGAAATAAAATCTAGCTTGGGCAAGGACGTTCCAAGGTGGATGTGGGGTCAGGAAAAGCTAAGGCCCAAACACGGGAATGGCCAGGGCTAGTGCCTGTGGTGGCCCGTAGTGGGCGCTGTGGAGAGGCCACAGAACACTGGAAGACAGAACTAGGCCTCCATATACAGCCCATGCCAGCCTTGAGCCCTAGATCCTCCTACCTCAACCGCGTGAGTGCTCAGCGCACGGTCTCCATCCTCCGATGTGGAAAAGATAGAAATGACTTCCTCTTCCAACTGGAGCAAGAGACTTCAAGGCTGGTGTAGAGCAGCGGGGCTGGGTCTGGACTCCACGCCCCCTGAGGAGCTGACCATGACCTCTGCCCAGAGGCGTGGGCCTTGCTGCATCCTCCCAAGGAGAGATGGCAGGACTCTGCTGTGGGAAAGTTGAACGAACCTGGGATTTTATTAAAAAAGTGGGGCCGTGAGAACTTGAAAGATGGGTACACAACATTCATTTAAGCGATCATATTCCAGGGAGAATAAAGAAGCACCCCATTCTGTCTCTCCAATACCCTCCAATTGGGACCATGGAGGAGGAGGAGGAGGAGGAGGAGGAGGAGGGGGGAGGAGGAGGAGGAGGAGGAGGAGGAGGAGGAGGAGGAGGAGGAGGAGGAGGAGGAGGAGAAGGAGGAGGAGGAGGAGGAGGAGGAGGAGACGACACTGTCTCTACCATCCACCAGGCGGCACTCGGACCTCAGGAGATGTAGGCAGGCCTTTGAGGCCTGGGGCTGGAGGCTGGCTAGCTAGGGGTCCCTCTTTTTAGCCCAGCTGGAGATCCCTCAGGACAACGCGGTGAGGGTGTTCCTGGGGCCTGGGGAAAAGCTCACAGTGTGGGGGGTGGGGTGGGGGAGAGGTCAGGCAAGGAGTGTAGAAAGACAGCAAATGGATGTACAATTTTCCTCCACTGATCAAAATCCAACACCTCTCCCCACCACTGTGGATGGTACCCGCAAGAGCGGGGTCCAGAGAAGGCAGGGCTGGGAGTCATTTGTTGGGTTTTGTTAGGCGCTGCCTTTGGAAGTGGACCATCCTCCCTCACCCTGCCTAGCCAGCGCTGCTCCCCTCCCCCCCCCCCCCCCCCAGTGGTGTGCTTAGCTTTTAATACAATCTCCCTTCTCAAGTTATAGATGAAGGAGGAAGAACAGGCAGGTGCCGGTGGCTCATACCTGAAACCCTAGCTACTCAGGAGGCTGAGATCTGAAGACTGAGGCTCAAAGTCAGCCTGGGCAGGAAAGTCTATAAGACTCTTATCTCCAAGTAACAACCAAAAACTCAGAAGTGGAGCTGTGGCTCAAGGGGTAGAGCACCAGCCTTGAATGAAAAGCTAAGGGACAGTACACACCCAGTTCTGAGTTCGAACCCCAGTACCAGCATGGATACAGAGGGGGGGGGACTGGGTCTCAATAAATTCATTTAACACAGACAAGACCACTGTATGTCGGTTGTAGGACCCATGACCAGGCTGACCACACTGGCTCCAGGACTCAGAAATTCATCTCTCTGGAGATGATCGGCAGGTGTTGGCACAGAGCTGGCCTGCAGGGATTGCACCCATTTGTCATCCTTCCTTCCTCCATCTGCTTCCTGTGCCCTGAGAGCAGCAACCTCATGAAGCTCTACTCTTCTCTGGAATGTTCCAGAAGGTGTTCGTCCACATGGGAACACAGGTTTCTATTTTCAGCAGTCAAGGAAAATCTCGGATCACACACCAACAATAGAATGGACATCTGTGCATTTGCTTCCAGGGCAGTTAGGTCTGAGAGCTCTGCCCGGCCCCCTGGCTGCAGGCTGGTGAGGTGCTGGGTCCTTGCAGGATGGCTGCGTGTGCCGGGAAGGTGAGGAATGCCCTCTGCGGCCCTGAGCCCGGCCGGGAGCTTCGGGAATGGCTGGTGGCTGGAGAATGTTGGGATGTGGGGTTCCATCCTGGCTGACTTGGGGTAACTGGGAACAGCAGCAGCATGTGACAGAACAGCAGATGGTTTATACAAAAACGCTCACAACCTCATTCGGTGCTTTATTGTTAGGCGCGTGCTCCTACACACAGTTGTAGGCCGCCATACACTGAAACATGGCTCTGACGTTCCAAGCATAATTGCATGTGATTTCCAAGCAGCCCATTTCTCTGAAGAGACCCTGGTACGATCGGTAGAGGTGCTTGGGTTCCATCTTTGCTGTGGACATGCCAGGAGCGGAACCTGCATTGACCCTCTTTGGGATGCGGTGAGGTGACATTTATTCTTGACCGCCACCACAGGTCATAAATAAAAAGTGAGGGGCCGTGCACGGAGTTCCCTTTGTCTCCCTAAGTGGCTGGGGTCTTTCTTCTGTTCCCTTGGCCTCAGAATCACCCACAAATCTCTCCCGACTACACTGACTGTAGTTATAATTGTTCTCATCCGCGAATTTATTCTGCAGTGGCCAAAGGCCTTTCTGTTGGTCTCCCCAGAAAGCACAAAAGGCTCTGATCCTGCTGTGTTTCTTGCTTTTAGCAATGGACACCCTAAAACTCGATTGATTTACCTCCGTCTCAATGGATGTTCTCAGCGTCCGTGGGGAGGAAGGGAGTGGACCCGTGGCTATTTGGGAGATGGACGGATGGGCCAGGCTCAGGATATTGCTGGGGTTTCCGTGGAGCTCCTCATGGTTAATTCCCCCTTCACAGGCTCTGACGCAACCCACTGTCTGAACGGCTGTGGCCTTCACGCCATGTGGACAGCCCAGGACTGTGTGCAAGTACGTCACACACAGCTGCCCCGGCACCAGGGCAGTGGCCATGACCTTCGGTGTCACCGGCCTGCCATCTGACCATTGCCTGACCGGCTCGCTGGAGGCCAGGTGAGCTCTGGCCTCGTGTAATTCAGATCCACGCGCCATTTGCTTCTGTGGAAAGGGCAAAGCGTGCATCTTGGAGTGGACAGGAAGGCAGCGAGGACTCCTTCGACTGTTGCTATTCACCCTATTTGTGGAATCTGGAGCGAATGCTGTGGCTTGAAAGGCAGAGGTGCAGATTTGCCTCTGTGTGTGTGAGGTGTGTGTGGGGGGGGGGTGTGAACTCATGAACGTGTGTTGGGGGTTAAGGGAAAGTGATGCCACGAATGCATGCGGGCAGAGGCCAGAACCACGGCCTGAGGAATTCTGTCTTTATGGACGTTCCCTTAGAAGGTCACACACAATGTCTCCCCAGGGACCCCCTCCTGAAGGGGGTGGACGTTCACTGTCCCCTCACAGTTGGATCACAGGCCATCCCTGCCTCCACCCCCCTGCTGGCTCTGGGACACCTCCCTGGCGCCATCTTCCTGGATCCACCTCCAGGGGTTGGAACCATTTCGGGTCATGCTTTCTCCAGTTTGGACTCTCATCCCTGAATGGCCAGAGCTCATGGTGCTGTGTCTCCCCCATTCTGAGCTCTGCCCCAGGGCGGGAGCATTCCCTGGAGAACGCGGCCGCATGGATAGACTCACACTCTCCTCTCCTTCAGTGACTTAGAATCAAGAACCATCCAGTTGGGGCAGAGAGGCGAGCAGGTAGCACTGGGGTCCATTCGCTTTCGGTGCAGTAAGAGGTATCCAGCCCACCTCAAAGGGGGGCAGAAGTAGAATTAGAAGACTAAAATAAAGGGAAGAGCATTTCAATGGTTATCAGATGAAGACCCCAGAATCGCCACGCATGCGTGATTATGATGCCGCAGTCTCTTTAGTCCTGGCTTCCCGGTGCAGGGACTCATTCAGGTTCAACCCTCCAAAGTCTCCTGGGAGGCCCTGACTCGATTGTCTCTGTTCCTTTGGGATCAGACTAGCACCTGGCTAATGCTTATGTGGAGATGGTTTTAATAAATACCTGGGGTTTTCATGAAAAGCACACATACATATATATACACATACACGCACCCGATTCACAAGCTAATCTTTGGGAAACATTCTGCCACTCACTTCCCAAGGCAAAGTATCATCTTGAGCACAGGATAGCTGAGCCATTTCTCTCCAGAAGCTTTCAAGTGGTTGAAAGAAAATCAAAGGAGACCATACAACACTCTTAATATATATTGGTGTGGGGTCTTCAAGACTGAAGAAGACCCCACAGAGGGAGGTGGACAGTACACCAAGAGACATCTTATCCACAGGGACAACAACACTAATGTACAAGGCTACAAGACCATCAGAGTCTATTCTACAATGCACAGCGAAGTACCCAGTTAGACAGCTGGGGTCTGTTTTCAGTGCAGTATAGAAAATCAGTCAATGACAGTGTATAAAAATATATATATGTATATTTGTTATTGTTGTAGTTGTCAAAAGATGGACTGAACTAAACATAAAGCTTTTCTGATAAACTATAAAAAATGAGCCAGCAGTTGGATGTCCATATTATCGGGTTGAGATTGCTCACACATCCTGTGCATACACACTTACTTGGCTGTGACCTTGACACAGAAAGCAACGTATGAACATGTTTCCATCATCTTTTTTTTTCCTTCTAAGCTAGGAAAATATCAGAAAGAAGCTCAACTCATTCTTCATGGCTTGTGTTCCGTTTCCCTTTTGGAGCCATGTATTTGTATTATAGTCTCCAATGTTGCGGGATCTGAGTGATGGTATTTGATCAGTGGACACTTAACATGTGTTTCTTAAGAATGTTGTTTTCATTCTTCCTTCTTTCCTTTCCTTCCTCCCTCCTTTCCT